TTTCAGCATGCAAATATAACACAGAATAACTCCCCCTTGACTCATCAAACATTTGAAATGTGTCTGCGGAGCTCTGCAGGCATGAAAAATGACTTATAGTAGTTAAATAGTTGCAGATAAATTTCTGCAGGTCAACCAGTTGATTAATTGACTAATTATTTCAGCTCCAATAGTGTGCAGTGACCTGTTGCTCTCTCTACTTCCTCTTGTCATCACCTTCACTCTCTGGTCCAAATATTGTTATTTAACTATCTGTGATTGCATGAGTTAGATTACTCACTCCCTCATCACACCTCTCCATCATCCTGTCTTGTTTCTACATCTCGCCTCATCAATTTTCCACCTCATTTCTACCTTGAGTTAATGACTTCTCCTCTCTAATAGACTGTCTCCCATCTGTCCTCAGATGCAGCGGCTGCAGTGGTGGGAGGTCCTGCCTCTCCTCTGTCGGTCCAGGTATCTGACGTCAACAAGGACTACGTCTTCCTTACCTGGCAGCCGCCTAGTGCTGATGGAGCCTCACCTGTGGAGGGTTATTATGTGGAAAGGTGTGGATTAGTCTGGTGAAACGAAACAGCAACTGAGACTGAAGGTTGATTCTTGACCTTGAAAACAGTACTTGACAAAACATTCTCACCACAAGGTCCAGATTAGTAGCTGCTCAGCAGCTTTTGATCATATGATACAATCTTCCCAGATAGAGATTCCTCAGTTGTCATAGAAATTTAGACGTTCAAAGTTCAGTTTTTCTGAGTATTTGAACGACTTCTCTTCCTCACTTTTCTGTCAATTAAGACTAATGATCGATCGAGATGAGGGTAAAAAATATGTCTCTATTTTATCCACTCCTCATGATTTCATATGCTCATTGAGAACACACTCTTTCAATAATGCAAGACTTTCAACCAATAACAGCATCTGTACCATCTGGAGAATGTCTGACCAGAGTTTGGGTCAGCAGAGAAATTTAAGATTAAAATGTTTTTTAAAAAAGGCAGAAGAAAAATCTAACACAGAATAATAATATTAGCAACTAATGATTAGTTTCATGATCAATTAATCTGCAGATCATTTTCATGATTGACTGAGCAATCATTTGATGTATAAAATGTCAGCTTAGAGTGAGAAATGCCACCAAACTGTCTGAAAACCCATGCTAAGGCAAAAACTGTTTTATTTTGTCTGATCAGCTGTACAAAAACTCATTATTAATATTTACTTTGCCATCACATTAGACAAAGAAAAGCAGCAAATTCTCTCAAATGAGAAGATAAACCAGAGATTGATTCGCATTTTTGTTTGATTAATCTGATTAATTTATTGATTTATTTATTTTTTTTAAATGGAGTGACTTAATTTCAGCCTTATTATAATTCATTTTATCACTTGATTAATTTTATATACTGTATATATAAAATACATTGTCAAGCCATCCAAAAATATACATTTTACTTTGATTAATTCCTCGATTTTTATTATTTTTCAATTTTTCATCTGGTCAGTTGGCTGAATAGGATAAGTATTTAATGTGTTTAGATTATTACTCTTCCTATTCCTGTTACACTAAGATCACATTAATTAATTGACTTATTTTACATTGAAATTAGACCAATTTCCTGTATTGCAAGTCAACAATAGACCTACACTAAGACTACAGCACTGAAGCTCTGTGTGCTGCTGGCGCGGAAATTGGATTGGGAGAGATAACGATGGTGGTGGTGGCGACCAGCAGTGGTGTAACATCCCTCTGGCAGAGTTCACAGGAGATGGATGGTACACATGGTAATTATCAGCCCTCAACACTATGTTAACAGCAGAGTCAAAGACTCCCACAGGAGAACAGGTGCTGCATTTATCACCAACACCAATCAATCTGGATCATCCTGTACGTGTGTGTTTGTGTGTGTGTGTGTGTGTGTGTGTGTGTGTGTGTGTGTGTGTGTGTGTGTGTGTGTGTGTGTGTGTGTATATCAGTGTGTGTTGTGATAAGTGTGTGGAAACAGCAGAAGAAAATATGTTTGCATTTCTGTAAGTGTCAATGTTCATTACTGCGTAAGTGTGTGCATTTTCATGTGTGCGTGTTTTTGTTAAATGGTATTCAATTGTGTTTTTATGTGCGTTTTTGTGCTCTTGCATATCCTCTTTATTCAGTGTAGAAGATACAGCTCTACTGAATGTTATTGGTTATTGGGTGAGGAAAGAAAAATGTAGCATACCTCCCAGTTCCCTAGCAACCCCTTATGGTTAGAAAACTGCACTCTTTTCTGTCTTTGTTTACTGCAAGTGGCAACAGTTTGTTATTGATGTTGTATAATCTGAGCTTGTAGTCTATTTTAAAAATCTGTTTTCTAGTGTGTTGGGAGGCCCATTATTTTCACATGATGGTCTCTGGTCACAATAATAGGCCTTGGTGGGGTATTTACTGACTTTGATGTGTTGTTGCGCAGGCTTAAATGTTTAACAATTGGTTTTATAATGTTGCACCCTGCAGACTGCACATAAAGTGGTTTGAACATTATGCATTTGGTTTACCTCTTCAGATGTCTTTCTTTCTTTCTTTCTTTCTTTCTTATTGCATAAATGTTGCATCTGCAGGATTGATTTATCTCCCTTTTTCTTTCACTCTCTCTCAGATATGACCTAGGTCAGGGCGAGTGGGTGCGCTGTAATATGCATATTCAGAAAATGTGCCACTACCCAGTGTTTGGGCTGAAGGAAGGCATTCTGTACCAGTTCAGAGTTCGTGCTGTTAACAAGGCTGGAGCCGGACGCCCGTCCAAGGCCACAGAGCCCGTCCTCACTGCAGACCCCCTGGAACACACCAGGACCACGGGTAACACATTATACACACTGACAGTCGAATTTTCATATAAAAGCACAGCTGGAGAAACACAAAAGCGGTTCAGTTCAGTTCGTTTGTGTGAAACCAAAACAGACCAACTACTGGATTTTGTGATAGAAGATATGTGAGAAAGCTACACCACTGTTAAATCTATATACTGATCATGAACTCTCAAGAAATCTATACATTTATGTAGTATCACCTGGTAACCAAGGTAACATGATCAATCAGAACGTGGGAAGCAAAGTTAAGCATGTGTTCAATTCTGTGTATTTCTATCAGTTCCTCATTTAAAACCAGACTGAAAGGCCTCTTTTCCCTCTCGATTCCACCTGTGATATATGAGATCCACTTGCAGTCTATATTGCTCATAATGAATAGGTTCTCTGTGTCCATGTATCGCTAATAATCCAGGATGACATTCACCCGCACTGTCCAATGAATGTGTCACCTGTCAGTCTGTATAAAATGATATTTACAGCTCTTGGTTCATTTGTGAAAAGCAAGTGTTGAAGGGGAACTCCACTGAGTAGCACTGCATACATGTAGCCTTCGTGAAAAAAGTCGTACAAAGCCTTTTGTGGCTCCAGAGGGAGTTGCGATAAGTGACATCCTTGAAGCAGCATTGGTTGGAGCTGAAGACTAGTTTGAAGTTTGCAATCGAAAGTAACACTGTGTGGGTGTGGAGTTTGAAAAAAGTGAGTTTGCCAGACCTCTGTTGCCCTCTCCTCATCTCTGCTTAAGGCTAGCAGCTTGAGGCCTTTTTGATCCTTTTTTTTTTTTAACTTCCATTGTGAGTCCAACAATGTTAGAGCAATGCTAAAATGTTGGAGACCTCTTTTAACATGACCTGTACCAGAACTAAAAGGTATAAAAAGGTAAAACCACTATACCACTGATTTATTTACATGTCATATTCAGATTCAGCCTAGACATTGAAACTATAGTGAACGGTGTCAATTTTATGTAATGTTGCTGGTATGATGTCAATTTGACTAACAACAGATCTTTTCTCTGGCTATTTTTGCTTTGGAAGCATGCACATCAGTGTGTCCGCAGTGTGACGCCTTGTGTCTAATCTAACTCTAATCCATTAACATGGCCGCCAAAATGAAAACACAGCCGCCACCCACCCGCCACACAGTCAGTGTGTTCCCAGCCTTAAGAGAGATGGATACATCGCGATTCCTCAGCCTTGCTGCTAATGAGCCCCAGTGGCAAATCATGGTAATGCAACAAAAAAAATCCCCTGCAGGCCTTTTTTTTTTTTTATCCATGGAGGTTTTATATTTGCGAAACTTTCATTTGCATGACATTTGCGAGTCTCTGAAACGCCACTATTTTTTTCAAAATAGTCTACAGGTGTTCAGTTTGTATTGAGGTCTGGTGACTGTGAAGATTAAAGCATCTTATTCACAACGTTTTCACACTCATCAAACCATTCAGTGACCCCTTGTTCAGAGGCATCTGCACTTGTTCAGTCAGATATTTTTTAATTTGCCACTCATCTCCTTCTGTAAACAGGAACAACAATTTGTTAGCAACTCATTTGTTCTGTTAATTCACCTCGTCTACCTCAGTGTTGATGTTCCACTTGCGAAGAAATTAGCTCTAACAGAGAAAACAGATGTATAGGTGTGTAGCTGTAAATCGCAGGGTTTTGCTGTCGTCACTGCGACAGCTTCTTAATTGTATCCTGGAGTGGACCGCTTGGTTACTTAGAATATTACTTTAGGCGATAGGTTTTGTTAAATACTTCAATCAGTGGAGGGATGAGAATGATCCACTGAGATGTAAAGTAGATAACTTAGAGTGTGTGTGTGTGTGTGTGTGTGTGTGTGTGTGTGTGTGTGTGTGTGTGTGTGTGTGTGTGTAAAGGGGAGGACAGATGGGCTCTGGTCAGATGCTGTGGATCATTAAACACAGATGAAGGACAGACATAAGACTGACTTGCCTCCGGCCTGCTCTCCACCCTTCCATGTCGCTCTCTCTCACCTCTTTGTGTGTCCCTGGCTTGTGGCTGTCTTACCAGTGGCTGCTCCTCTAACATTAACACTAATAGTGTTATCATGGGCTCTCATATAACTTCATTACCCTGGTATCTCTTCCTTCTTTTATCCCTCACCCCCCCCTCTCTCCTCCTTTCTCAGTGATTAAAATGGATAGAGGGAGGACCATCACCATTACAAAAGATGAACTGGAAGGTGAGAATGCTGTATTTTTATTCCAGTGTATAATTTTGTCATAAAAACGTGCCATTTGAACATCGTCGTCACCCCTGATGTCAAACAGCATCCGTGTTTTACTGGCACACAGGGTGCTGCCTCCTCGCCTGTAGGTTGCCTCAGGCTCGTGGCTTAATGCATCTTCATATTATATTTAACTATGAGCTGCAGTAATTGTATTGCTGAGGCGATGAGCATTTGTTCCATTTACAGAAGTGAAAAGAACGGACAGTCCCTGGTGGTGTCCTGGTAAATGCACATAATATGCCCGAGGTAGTGTGAATGGTTGTGAAGAGGCTTGATAACCTTGGCAATGTATCTCACAGACAGAGCGATAAAGGAACAGGGATCTGTGTTTGAGAAGGCAACCAGAAAAGAAATGTAGCACAGGAAGCGCGTTCATATGTTTAGGTTTAGGGTGAAAGAGAAAGCATACATACATTACTACTATACAAGAGGTTACATATAAGTAAAGTGACAGATGCATGTTTTTGTTGTTTTGTCTGTGTATTTCAAAGACACGTGATTTGAAATTAATCAGCATCTATGTGGTTAAAGTTAAAGGGATCAGCTGTAATCAGAGGTGTTTAGATGAGCATCAGAGGAACAATGAAGGAATTACAGCCCAGTTTATAGACAGTGTCTCATTTAAAGGAACCAACATTTATACAACAAAATAAAATAAATTTAAACAATTTCATTATTACTTATTGGCTGTGTTAGTTATTTTTGATGCATTACAGGAATAGTTCATCATCTTGTGGAATATGCTTATTCACCTTATTACTGACAGACACTCTCATGTCTGTCTGTTAATATGGAGCCAGAGCCAGACGGATGATTAGCCTAGCTTAGCACAAATACCCTGGAAACACATGGAAACGGCTACCCTGGCTCTGTCCAAAAAAAAAAAAAAATCTCTACCAGCACCTCTAAAGCTCACCAATTAACACGTTATGTCTTCTTTATTTAATCCATACAAAACCAGAAATGTGAAAATGACAAGTTATGCTTTAGTGGCGGGTTCCGTGCTGTAACTATCTATTTTATGCCAAGCTAAGCTAATCGCCTCCTGGCTGCAGCACCGTACTTAACGCACAGATATGATAGTGATATCAATCCTCTCATCTAACTCTCAGCAAGAGAGCAAATAAATGTATTTCACAAAATAAAGATATAAATCACAACTTTAGGTGGTCGAATACAAACATCCAGTAGGCTATTTTTTGTGTCAGCACACAGGAAAACATAACAACATCATGTTCCAGCGTCCTGTCTTCACTTGCCTGTCATGCCTGAAGGTCTAGCACTGAAACGTCACAAACGAATGTATCATTGCGAGTTACACAGTGTGCGGACTGAGATTTTGTTTGCTTCTTTAGATCCATTCATCCTTCTCCTACGCGCCTGTCTCATGAAAAAGATGTGCAAAGTATTCTTCTGTTCTGGCCTTGAATAACTCTCAGGTTACTTGATTCTTCATAACAATGAAAAATGCTTCTCTACTTACAGACTACACTCACACAAACACGCAGGCGTGCAGGCTTTACCAGATCAGCTCTGGAGTTCTTGTCTGATCCACGCTGCAGCTCTGCTAAACTCTTCAGGGAATACAGACAGAGAGAAAAACCTGCCGAGAGAGAGGGGCACAAAAATACTAGACTTCAGACTGAATCTGAACACTTCCATTGTCTTGGACTGACTTGGAGTGTCACTGAATGTGTGGTGCCTTTTCACCATATGTAATATGTATTAGGAATGGAAGTTAAATTAGGGCAGTAAGGTAACTCTCTCCCACTCAAATCCAGCAGACATAGCATGAAGATTCCCGATGCCAAGATTTTAAGACAAAGAGAAGCAAAAGCAAAAACTCAGCCAGGTCTTTTTGGACTCTGCGTTCATTCTCACTGACTTTGTTCTAATTTCTGTCTTCATGGTCCTCCACCTCCTCCTCTCCCTCCTCCTCTTTTCTCTGAAGGTCAGGTCAAAACTCCTTTCCCTCCCACAAATGTCCATGCCTGCGAGGTGAGCGACACCTACGTGGTACTGAGCTGGACTGAGCCTGAACCCAGAGGCAGGGAGCCGCTCACCTTCTACGTGGAGCGGGTCAGTCTTTCCTCCCACACATTTACACACACATACACAAATGTTCATATTGCAATAACTCTGAGTACCTTTGTTGACTAGAGTTATCCCAAAGCCCATCAACTCAACCCTAACCCGTTTTATCCTAAAGGACTGTTCCCAAGGTTTTAGGACGTAAGCTACAAATCACATTACTGCTGACTATTTTCCAACACACTGCAAGGAGTGCAGTGCAAGGGGAAATTAACTTGCAGAGACTTGAAACTGGTTTGGAACAGGTAATCCATCACATGTAGTCCAAATTTACATTAATGTTGAATGGTAATGGTGTTTTGAAAGCGCCTTCTTTCCTGCTGCGTTCATGGAAACTCAGACATCTGAACTCAGCATATGATGAAATAAGCAAACATTTCAGGAGGACTTTGGTGATTTGTTGTCTCAGATCCTGGTGCTTTCTTGTATAAATCTGATTACGTCATTATTTTAAAACATTCCCCTAGAAGTTTCAGTCTCTATTTGCACAAATCGTGCAGCGACATGTCTGTGAAGGTTCATCTCAGTCATCTAGGTTGTATAATGTCTGGAGAGACCTGAATCCAAATCACTAGGCTGGATTGTTTAAGTATTTTTGGGCATTGGAGTCTTTTTTTCATTTTTCATTTCACATTTACTTGAGCATCTAGGTAGCTATAGATATTGTACAAGTCCTAACCAAAAGGCCACTATCATGACCCTGGCTTGGAGTTTTGACATTAAACTCTTGTGTCTTCAGTTGCTTCTTCGGTTTGTTTTCAGGACTGAAAAAGCCTGAACAGCAAAATGTCTTAAATGAAACCTCCAGTGATTTAAATTCAAGTCTCTCCAGACATCAGACCACCTGGATCACTGAGATAAACCTCCACAGCCATTTCTTAAAACACTCCCTCCTCACAAGTGCATTACCTCACCAAGATAACTGTGACCAAAAATAGAACAGACTAATTGATTATCCCTCTCATGCAAGTTTTAGCTCTGTGCACGTTGATTTGCAGACCATATTGAAATAATGAACAGAGAACAATTGCAGCCTTGAAAGTGCGAAATTAGTCTAAGAATTTATGGTGGCTTTGGAAAATGGGCAGCAGCAATGCATGATTTTTAGTTAATGGGCTAAAACATGCAACCCTTACTTGTATTTTCTCCAAATCCAAGTCCCTAAGTATCCCCTTAAGAATAATCTATAATCAATATTTTGGGACAGAACTACTTGTAAGTGAAAGGGGTTGCTCTTGGTGATAAACCAAATTGTCACACTTGAGTTTGCAGTTCCCTTTAGCTCTGTTAAGCATTTTAACATCTTTGCTTTTACAAGCAGCAGCTTTACTGTTCCAGTTCATTCTCTCTGAGCTCTCATAGTGTGGTTTTGTAGGTGCAGTGGGCGTCTGTTTTACAGCAACAAAAAAAAAAAAAAAAACTCCAAAAATCTGCTGTACACCATCACACACATACCTACAAAGAGATATGAAAAAGTATTCACTATATTGTATACAATAAGGTAACGATAAAGCCCTCTCTCACACACAAACACACACATACACAGACATAAATATATTCAAACACAAGCCACCACTCTAATTAGTAATACATACACTTCCACTTAACACAAGGATCAATGTTCTTGCATCGTCAGTTCCTCCACTCGCTTGTTGGGTTTGTTCGGTCCGATGCTGGAACATGAGCCAAATTAACAGCAAGCTCCTGACCATGGTACTAATTAAAGAGACAGGAGGAAAAACACACATACACACACACACACACACACACACGCACACACACTTATACCACTGTGTTGTCAGTTTAACTGTGAATTTGTGGACTCATTAAAGGCACACAGACCTTGATGTTCCTCTTTCATGCCATGCACTTAGGCATTAGGGGTTAGATTTTATGGCTTGAATACTTATAAGATTTTTCTTTTTTTTTTTAGTGCACTAACTGAAGATTTAATTCTACCTGGATCTGAGATTTGAAGGTTTTGTGGTTTAAAATTTGTAAAAACTACAGTATGTTCTGGCTTTGACTTATGTAGCAATATTTCAATTATGCATTCAAAGTAATGTCTGTAAAGGAAAATACAGCTAAAATGAAAAAAAGGTGTGGTTGTTTTTTCTCCCTCAGGACTAGATACAAAGTTCAGAATGATGCTGAAATAACAAAAGTTTTCTTCCAACATACCAAAGTGAGAGGACTGCCCTATTCTTTACAACAATAAAGGGCCTCCGCTCTCCAATATCAACCCAGACACACAACAGCTTCTAGCTCCAATAATCAGAAAACTGCCACAGGAAATAGATTTTTATTGGACTTTTATAACTTACTGAGGTAATAAAACTGTCAAATCTGTCAAAGGCATCTGAAATTACTAAAGTCTGCTGCTTCACTTCCGCTTATATAATGAAGGGAACATTCAAATATCCCTTTCGCCCTTGAGCAAGCACTTTATAATCACTGATCTCTTTGACATGCCCCGCTCTATTGTTAGGTTTTCCTCCTCAAACAGGGAGCTCCAGCAGAAATAATGGTAATACATAGCGGAGGAAAAATAAATTTAGAATATAAAATAGAGAAGATTAGTTTTACTGTATATGTATATCATTGGTTGAAAGTAACTAATTGACAAAGATGAAGAAAAGGTGTAAAGATGAGTCACTGGTTGTCCACAATTTACCTGCGTCTCCATTTTTTGACTATATCCTGGCATATCTGTCTTCTGTCTCTCTCTGCTTGTGTTTCTGTCTCTCTGAGTCTGGGGATCTATTGATATTTCTGCCTTCGAGTCTCTCTACCTATCTCCCCAAACTGCTAATCTTCATTCCTCTATGTCTGCTCTTGTCAGGACGTTAAGTGGTTTGCTCCAAAACTTGACAATCGCCAGTTAAGTACAGAGTAAGGGATGGTACAAAATTAGAATGAATTATGGGACTTTTTAAAGCATATTTGGAAGTCTTGGCAGTCCCTCACTCTTGCGCAGATTGAATCCTCTAGCATATTTGAAGGATACTGAGTAATGAACATGTCCTTGAGGTTGATAGTGCTTTTGAAATCATATTTGTGTTTTTCCAATCCTGTGCTTGGATCAGTCCCTGGCAGGGAAGAGCAGCTGGGAGCTGGCCAGTCTGGACATGGTGGTGAACTCTCCGAGGTTCCCGGTGTTTGACCTGGTCAAGGGCAAGCAGTACTGCTTCAGAGTGCGCTCCATCAACAAGTACGGTGTCAGTGACCCCTCCGAGCCGAGCGAGCCAATCTCCTTGGGAAAGCCACAAGGTGAGACAGACTGTGCTATGTCATGTACCCCTGCCCATTTATTACTTGGCCTATTGTAAAGGTCAGTTTGATTTCGAAGAGCTACATCCTAGTTCAGCATTTCCCTCCGGCGCTGTGCCTACTGTATAGTTGTTTGTTGATCAGCTGTCTCTCAGAAGGATTATAATTTGGACACTTAGACCTCAAATTGTTTTTAAGTGATATGAATATCCCTGTAGTATGTTTTATTTTTCAGAGCTCGTCGGTTAGGCAACTAACTTTAATTTTGATTTACAAAACAATCTGCTGAATATATTTTTAGGCTAATCAATGATGGTTTGGTCTCTATAATGAGACCCAAGATGACATCTCTACAGTGATTGTTTTGTCAAACCAACAGTCACGTAACCCTGACCCCAAAACAAAGAAGAGCAGCAAACCATCAAAAATGAGATGCTCATACTTTAATTGTAAACAACAGAAACAATCAATTATCAAAATATTTGCCAATTAATTTTCTGTAAACTGACTTTCGAATTATTTTAGCTCTCCTGTCAGTTATTTAAGGCTTTTTTATAAAGACCCTTAACCCTGTTTACTCTTGTAAACAGGCAGACAGACAGTTACGTTTACATTCAGTCTTTCTCACCAAAACACATTGTGTACCCTTGAGGTCTAACAAACATGTCGAATACAAACTTCTTCATAAAACATTTTCAGCACTGACTTCTGTAATCCTTAGCACATTACTGTGACGGCTGAACATAGAGACCGGACTCAAAAGCAGAACTCGACACTCAGCGGGTAAAGAAACTAAATACACAGGGGCAAGGGAGACAATGACACACAGGTGCAACACATTAGGGCTGGGTCAAGTAATCACAGGAGGGAAGCACAGGAGGGCAGGAAGTGCAGGGACCTGGAATGAGACAGGAGGTGAGTCTCAAAATAAAACGGGAAAACACGATGAGACATGAGGGAAGAAGACAAAAGGGACTTGACTGACAAGATGTGATAATTACTATCACCCGCCCATCAGTGTAATAACGTGAAACCATGGGTAGGAATGTGTATTACGTGACACATGCACATGCATACTGTATGTATCCTCGTGTGCGTCCAACAGTTGAATGAATTCTATATGATGGTCAATTTTTCATTTGATGATTTCAGCTTTCATAGTTTTAGCTGACGGTTTTCGTCTGATTCCCCCCAGCTGTGCCAGCTCCTGCTCACTCTGTGCTGGCCATCAGAGACAGAGACACCTCAGTGCTGCTGCAGTGGCAGGAGCCCAAAGAAAAAGATGATATTCTGGGATACTACCTGTACTACAGCGAAGCTGGCAAACAAGACTGGAAGACTGTTAACAACAAGCCTATTACCAAAACCAGGTAACTGTGACAGATTCATTTGTGTTCTAATGTGTTTATTATCGTGTTTCTGGTTGGCTGCAGGAAGAATCGTTAGTACTTTGCTCAGTCTCTATAGTCTGAATAACAGGTAAAAAGTGGTTGCAATAGATTATCATTCTGCATGGAAAAGTATTTCAGATATGAACTTTCACTCTGCCTGAACTTCGTCTCTCCTCCTCAGGTTTATTGTGCACGGTCTCAAGACTAGAAGGGAATATGTGTTTCGGGTGAAGTCTGTGAGCCGAGCAGGAAACAGCAGCTATTCAGAGGAGTCAGTCCCCATCCTCGTCAAAGCAGCCATTTGTAAGTGCAGCTGCCAGCTAATACAGAAAGTAGTGGACATAAAATTTAATTTTCTTTCAGGACACAACCCAAGTATCTGAAACTATTTAATCATTTGATGCTCTTACAAACTGAGCAACACACAGCTCCTCTTGCAGAGGTAAAATTTTAAAAGAGTAATTAATTTTAAACAGTATTTCAATGTTGAGTTTTTGTGAAGATTTGTTATTCTTAGAACCTGAGCTGAGGATATTTAACCATTTTGCTCCGAATACCTTCAAATTCTGAACTATCAGTGTTAACTGAATTGTAAAGTAAACTTCTCAAGCAGACGTATTCATGTTTATAGTTTTCTTTAGCCTCAGGAGCCCTCTCTCAGAAAGCATGCGTGCTCTCCAAAGTGAAAAAGGTCTAAGCATTTAACTGGCCTTACAGAAACTTGTCATTGTCTGTCCTTCATGTTTCCAGCTTTACAAGAAACAAAAAAGCATTTCTTGGGGAAAATAAAGTTTTACTGAAGTCGGACAAAGAAGAAAAGTGTGTGTGGGCAAGACAAGCTTCTAATGCAGTATCACAACACTTCATAGTGCTGCTGGTATCATATTCAAACTGAGACTGTGTTTCTGTCACATGTCAGTCTCCATATGTTTTGTTATACCATCACTCAGGCAATGAGTGCACATTCAACCTGTGTTGTGTTTTCCTATAATGCTCTCTCTGCAGCGTGCACTACCGTACAGGGATGACTCTTCTCGGTTGCCACTCACTGCCAGAATATTCTCATATCTATTCTGTCGCTCTGCCATTAGCTGGCAAGTCCAGTTCTTTGTGAGGAATATATTTTTTATCAAACAGAATATGAGCTGAATGATTCTTTCGTTTTCAGAATGCTTAATATATGTAAAGAGTTATGAATTGGCAACTTCAGACTTAAGTTGTAAAGAGGGTTATTAGCACCTCAAATCAAACAACAATCTAGTCTAGTGACGGGTCATTCATGGTTGAAGCTTTTAATCACAATTTCCTCTCCTCCTGTCTTTTATTTAATATTTCTGCAGATCCAACTGTAGACAATCAGCATATCTGTCCAGTAGAGAGAGTCCCTGGTGCCTCAGCTTCATCTGACTGCAAATTTCCTTTTAGTTGGTTAAACAGTGCAGATGTTTACAAAGCTCTGCTTACATTAAAAGCATACAAAACACTGGTACAGATAATCTTGACCTTTATCTTCTTCATCAAAGTGCCCCATTGATCTGTCCACATTTAGCTCATATCTTTAACCTAACCTTTTGAACAGGTTTGATTCCAGCTTTGTGGAAAATTGCCTTATTAGTATACCCTTGCACAAAGGTGGAGATATCTCTGATGTCAACAACCTACTACCTACTATCCTTCTACACAAACTACATTCTATAGGTCTAGAATGAAGCCACCCGTAGGTGCTTTCACTCCTACCTTATAGATCAGGCTATTGTCGTTTACGATACTCAGTGAAGCCCAGTTACCAGTTGCTGTTAACATTACATATAAATAACATAATTGTTCCTAATCAATATGTCAATGTTCATTTTTTTTATTGATGATATGATTTTATATGCCTTATATGCCTTTGATGCCTTCCAGCTATCACCCCGCCATTAATACTAATTCAAATGGCATTCATATAACTCTTGCTGCGTCATGCAGATACTGCATTTGGCTTTGCAGTAGGCTATCTTTCAAGATTCATATTCAACTATTGATTCAAGAATTAAAAATCAAACTAGGCTCCTTGTATAAAATGAAAGGACTTCAGTCTTTTTCCAACTGTAAAACTATTGTGAAGTCAACCTTTGTGGCCTCAGCACTGTTTAAATTGGAAAGAACAGCAAACTGCCCTCAAATTAGAGCCTTACACGTCCCTTTTTAGATTTTAAAATCTTATTATCTGATGTTTTTTGTGGTTCTTGTTACTGTACTGTTACTTTTTTCCTTGTTTCATGTTGTGTGTAGTTGTGTAGCCTCTGTTTTGTGTTCTTGTGATCATCTTTTGTTCTCAGGTCTCTCTTGGAAATAGACCTTAATCTAAATGAGACTGCTTGATTAAAAAAAATTAAATAAAAAATTCTCAGTCTATTTAGCAAGAATGTGTGCCTGCTGAGATTCTCTCCTCTCTCACGTATGATTTCTGTTGTTTCTTTTTTTTTTTTTTTAAATTCCCTCTGGTTCTTCCAGGTGTTCCCTCTGCTCCCTCTGCCATCGCCCTGCTGCTGTGCACCGGATCAGAGATGGTGCTGGGCTGGAGGGCCCCCACCTATAATGGGGGAGATCCTGTACGTGGCTACTACTTGGACCAGGTGGAAAAGGGCATGAAAACGTGGAGAGAGGTCAACATCAAGCCTGCCAAAGAGCGGCAGTGTAGGGTCAGTAAATCTCTAACATTATACAGTTATGGTGCAGTGTGATTTTTCGTTCCCATTCTGACAGCATTGCTCTGAGATTGGTCGAACGGTCAGTCCATCTCTTTGGTCCAGACTAATATCTCAACAGTTACTGGGTGGACTGCCACGAAACTGTTGACAGATATTCATGTTTCTCACAGAATTAATGATTTTGATGAGCCACCAGTTTTTCTTCTACTGCCGCCAGCAGCTTCACATTTTTTGGCTTTCAGTGAAGTATCTTGACAACTACCGGATTGATTGGCACAAAAATTGGAACGGACATTCATGTTTTTCAGATAATGCATTGTGATGACTTTGGTGATCCCCTGACTTTCCCTCTAGCACCATCACGTGCATTCAAGCCTCTCTTCAATCGGTCCAATAATTTGCTTTGGAATACTTGCAGAGCTAATGACATTCCCTTTCAACATCAACTGTACTTAGTGTTTTGTTGTCATTAGCCAATGTTAGCATGCTAACACATTAAGCTAAGATGATGAACAAGGCAAACATTAAACCCTCTAAATATCAACATGTTAACATTGTTATTTTGAGTATGTTAACATTTATCTCAGAGCACTTCTGTGCCCTAATACAGCATCATACAGATGCTAGCATGGTGTAGCCTCTTGTTCTTGTTTTTAAACGTAAATTATTCCTGAAGATGTTCCTTTCTCGTCATATGCACAGCACAGTGTAACAAGATGTTTTGTATAGTTCCCATTTTGAACTTGAAGTAATTATAATATACAATATATGGCTTTAGATATATATATATATATATGTATATACATATGTCACATGAAAAGTATCCACAAAATAACGTGTCTTCTTTATTCACTGTCATAGTATGAGAAGAAAACGTCTGATGAAAACTTAGTGAAAAGAATGAATATAAATTCCTGCAGATATTTCTAGACATCACTACCAATAAGGACTTACTTTTAATATAATTATACTAATAGAAGTAATTTTTACATTTAGCAGCTGCCTTTAAAATAGTGGCAATATTGGCTACAGCTCCCACATTGGCTGTGTCACTAGGCAACACGCTGTGTCCATGGAGACCTGGGGGGAAAGTTAAATCTTTAACCTGTTTCAGGTAGATTACAGGTGCTCCGTAATTAGACATTGTGCAAATGTGTTATGTGTGAGTGGTTGTTTTTAGCTCCAGGGAAAAACAAAGACAAAGCCAATTAGAAAGAAAATGACAATGCCACTGTAAAGCCAAAATACCAATACAACACTGTACATGTAACACTGGTAATTACCAGCAAAAGTCCTTCATTTAAAGTCCCACTCAAGAAAAGTACATATCAGTAAAGTGTACTTAAAATATAAAAAAAGGTACTTGTTCCACAGAAAAAGGCCCCTTTGAGATAAACTAAATATTATTATATATATTTATGCTATTATTTATATACAGATTTATATTCACTTTTTGGACTTTTTATCTAATTTTTGCTTTTTTATGAAATATTTTCACATCTTTAGCCTAAACCAGTTATTTTACTCATACATCTGAAACATGATCAATAACCCCAACTACATGTTGACTATTTGTTAGGGGGCACAAGCCAAAAATGTTGGAAACCATGGGTTAAATCTCTAACACTGTACTGTTTTATATGTCATATTAGTATAGAGAGTACAGTGTTTCCCTGTGACATGTAGTGGAGCAGAAGAATGAAGTACAAGTAGCTCCAAACAATCCTCAAGTACAGTACTTATATATATTCAGTATTTAGTTAAATTCCTATAAATAGGGCATGAGCATTATTGGGATTAAAGTTGATGAACCATAGGTAATGCAACAGTCAAACTTGCTCATGTTTCTGTGAGCATGACACTGAACATAAAGGTGGACCCTGCACTCTGAGCAAAGGCTGACAAAAAGAGGATGAAAAATATATGTCAGAGTGATCAAATGCAGCCTTTTCGCCATCTAGTGGATGAAAGCTGTACTTCATTTGGCTTATTTTGGCAGACAGCCTGTGCATTTCTCTGAGTGGACTGTATATTGATCTGATAAGAAGGTTGTCGTTCTACCTAAATGTGGTTAGAGAAGGATCTATAGATAATGAAATGGGTGGTAGGTGTGGGGAAATTGGTTTTTAGATAGCATTTGTTATTGCTCTGATATAAACTCCCTCTGGTTGTGTCAATTAGTTGCCAGGAGTGAGCTGAGACCAGCGGCAGAAGTTCACAACTGTCCACAGAGGCGATAAGGGCCTTAGAGTCTAAGTGGCTGTGAATAGGAAGATCATTGAACAGATCAATGAGGCTGAATCCCGTCTCTTCCCAAAGCAAAAGTGTCCCAGGGACTCAGCAAAATGCTGTGGCAGCAGCAGAGCTAATACCTTTATAAAATACTGCTTGAGTCAGGAGGAGTGTAAATGTACAAGCAGGGAACTTTTGCTCCTGTATGATGTGACAACTGATCCGTGTTTTCCTGAAAGTCAGCCAGAATACCAGTATGAACTGAGTTATTTTGATTTATGCAAATCAATTACATTTTTATTTAAGCCAGATACAGAATGCTTCATATACTGTACGTTATTAAAAATACTACAAAATATACAAAAAACAAAGAAAACCAATTCAAGTCAGTCCTTTGTTATCTACAACAAAAATAATACATCACTGAAATATGTTGTGTATTAGACTGGAGATATCCAAATCAATACAAATTAAATAGCCCATCTTCCCTTCTCTTTCAGGCTTTTGAATAAGCAAACAGGAATACATCAAAGTTGAACAACCTTTCCAATTTTTAATCATCTGTGCACCAGAATATTTCTCATTTTTGTCAAGCCATTTAATGGATAATTGACATTCTGAAATCGTCACATAGTACTATGTGGAGTTCAAAAGAAAAAGGCGACTCACTTTCTGCTTCATCCAAATCACACACCTTACAAAATCTGTTTTGCTCCTGAATACTTTTGAATTCAACATCAGTAGCCAGAGAAAGAAAAACCTGTTCAACCGTGCAACTAAAGTTCTTTGTTAGATGTGGAAAATGCTTCAGGGCAAAAACTTTTCTGTAATATGGATATGTGTCTTTAATTTAGGTATTGACAAGGTGTTTTCAAACTCCTATTATTATTATTCTGCACCTGTTTGTCTTCAGCTCTATCCCTCTATCCCTGATCCGTTTCCACAGGTTTGCAACCTGTCCAGTGGGCACTTCTACCAGTTTCGTGTGTTTGCTGCCAATGTGGCCGGTGTCGGGAAGCCGTCTGAGGCCAGCGAAGCTTTCCTGTGTGAGAAGTGGACGATGCCAGAGCCAGGTAAGGGAGAAAATGTCAGTCCACTTTTAAATCAGTTCATTCAGGAGGGATGATTTCCTGGACAATCCAAAGACATTACTGAGAAAAAAATGTCTCTGCACATCTGAATGCGTGGAAGATGCATCAGAGGGCAGCTCAACTTAAATAAAAGAAACTGCATACTGTCTTGCTTACTGCTGGTATATTTATTTGAAGATCCTTCCAGACATGTTGGCACATAAAACACTCTTTTAAATAACAATCTGTTCCTGATATGGTTTTTCCACAAAGAAAGTTCAATGTCCTGGTTAGAAAATGCCATCAATCCCTTCTGCCTCATAGAAACCAGAATCTATGAGCATACAGAATAATTTCAAACTACTGGGCACAAGATGTCATCTACTTCACTCCAAACAACAACTAAAACACCATAGCCAACTGGCTTCCAGAGAAGTTATGACACATACTGTATGTACACATCTGAAATTCAAATTTAAGGTGGGTACAGAGAAACAGTGAAGTGAAGCTCAAACAACAAAGTGAAGCAACAATAAGCGAAACATGTTTTTTAGGGGAGGTGGACTTTCAGGACTGAATCATTTTCAAACTTTCCAATTATTTCTGATCATTGAGCATCTGACTGACTCACAGCTTCTACAGAAGGCTGTGAGTTCACATAACAAAACGTTTATTGACTCTGGTTCACAAAGGGAGGCAAGATTGATACAGAGACCTTCCATCCAGGACCCATTACCATTCACTAGAATTTTATTTAATTTAAAATGACACCATTAAAGGTGCATATGGTCATTTCACAAGTAAATAGACAGGTCGATATGAAGTACCATAATAAAAACTGGCTATTTGCTTATTGTGCCATTAAAATGCAGAGTAAAGGCAGAGGTCAGCAGTCAAGTGCATAATGCGATGGCTGAAATAATAACTAGAATAATAGTCTTGAGTTAGAGGTAGTTAGTGGAATTCATTATATGTTATATGTGTATGCCTTGTCCTCTAATACTATTCAAGTGTCCTTGAACAAGGCATTGAATCCACTATCAGCTAAAGAGTCAATATGTGTGAAACTGGTCTGAAAGGTGTCAAAGAAAAACTGACTTTCACTTCAGGAATCAGAAGAGAGTCACACGGACAGTATATTATTACAAGGGTGTAGGCTTGGTTTGGGTTTCAGGAATATGAATAATTTAACCTGATTTTTAATTACAGTTACACTTCTACCAATATAGCACTAAATAAGTCACAATGAAATTTGTTATTGTGTTTTCCATGTAAATGATAGTGTATGTTCACCTCAGCTGTATTGTAAATAACAATACTTAAAATCCTGTTTATGAATTTAATCACGTAGTGTCCTTTATAGAAATAACAGGTAATGTTTTATTTGCATCTTTGTACTGTACAAATTGAACTCCGATGAACAAGTAAGGATCAACACTAATACAGACACAATCAGTTCACAGTAAAAATAAATAATTAGCATATTCAGGATCTGAAAGGAGAAATCAATTAAAAAAGCAATTAAATTATTGAGAGGCAGGTAGGTCTACAGTATAAAAAAGAGACTTGATATTATTTCGAGTGGATTCTCATTTCTCAAAATCTTTGATAAAAGGAAGTGATGTTGACTATTTATCTTGACAGTGTCAGTTATGTGATATTAATTCTTACCAGCCCCTTCAAGATGAACCATCTGTGAAGGATCTGCCATAACTTTATTCACACTGAGCATGTCCTATCATAAACTTCAACTCCTTCATGTCTGTTGACTGATGTCAATCCTAACACCACCCTATAGGCGCACTACCGCCCACGTTACCGGACTGGTGTGGAGCAGTACACCGTGATGAAGTGTGGGATACTTAGCTCTGAAAAGTGTTTCAAAGTGGTATTACAAGTACGCAGCATGTGTCGGTTAAATGTGCTGTGTGTATTTCTGATGAGGGGCGCACTTGCCAGCTACCTGGTGCCATGTGAACATGTGTGGGTATTTGGACAAACCGCAAAACCTCCGCCAACGAGTAAGGGCAGCCTGCAAGCAGCCTGAGAGTCAAAATTTCGGGCGAAAAGTACACGACATGCACTGACTGGACAGAGAGAGGACAATATTTAAAAATCAGCCTGAAACTATAAGTTTGGGGGATATCAATAAGATTTTGAAAAGTGATTGCATCATTATTACAAACACACAAGCACACGCACACAGGAGTCACACAAAGTCATTCCAGTATGCGGTGGCTCAGTAGACAGCCTGGCAGTCCTGGCCGCGCTCATATCGGCCTCTCGTGACATTAATATTGAAAATGGAGAGAGGCTCTCTCACACATGCCACTTTTAAAGCGCAGCTCATTAATCTTGGCAAATGGGCTTTCCTCTATGTCGTTAATAATTTAAAAGTGACTGAAAATCATTTAGCAAATTAACTACTATATGCCACCATGAAGTCAGTGGGGGTAGATTAAGGAATGTCACTGTACTCCTTTTGACTTTACTGCTATTTCTGGTTTGTTTTGCTACGACTTCCCACTGTGACAAAAAAAAAAAGTCCTTTTTGGTTGGTTTGGATATGATGACTGAGGACACTGTTTTTATTTAATATAAATACTGAAAAACACACACTTTTCCACTGCAGTTCCCCGGCACAAAAACATTGACGTTGATAGGTATGTCAATGACCTTTGCTCTTCTCTCTCAGGTTGTACCTACGACCTGGAGTTCAGGGAGGTGAGAAACAACTCCCTGGTGTTGCTGTGGGCAGCTCCGTTGTATGAAGGACAAAGCCCTGTCACTGGCTATTTGCTGGAAATCAGTCAGGGTGACCAATCAGACGACTGGACGGCTTTAAATGCCGAGCCCATCTCTGACACACATTACAAGGTGAGTGGAGCTGTAAAAATGTTTACAAGGCTTCAGTATAATATAACAGAAAGATAACGTTTTTTATGATTAGGATTCGTCCATAACCTCATGTGCCATACATACATACCTAAAAATGTTAATGTGCAAATAATCATAATGAATTATGACAATGACCGGTAAATATTTGATGTGTTTCTTATGACATCCAGGTGTCAGGTCTTCAGGCAGGTCAGACCTACCGTCTCCGTGTATCGGCTGTCAACGAGGCTGGAGTGGGCTGTGCCTCCCTTCCCTCTGAGCCAGTCACAGCTCAGACTAAACCAGGTCAGCTGTCATGGTTCCAAGATATATAAATATTATTTTAAAAAATCACCTCCAAGGCTTGTTGGAGGTGCTGGACCAAAGATGCAATATATAAGGCATTTAACCCCTCGCTCTCAGTGAGGCTCTCTGCCTCAATCCCTCAGCGTCTCTGTGCTTTTCACACTTTTAAGTGCCATCTCTTGTTTTTTCAGCAGCGTCCCAACAAATGCTGTTTTCCCTGCACAGTCCCAGCAATTATGGAAATGTTTCAAACTGACCAAGACTGTGGATGTACAAAATATGATAAGACAAAAAGATTGATACCACATGTCTGTCTGTTAAATATGAAGCTTGACACAGGACCGTTTACTTAGCGTAAAGGCTTCTGACACCAGCCTCATGTCACATGAGCGTGGTGTCAAACCTCTCATGTAACTATCATCGAACTATTCCTTTAAATGCCCATTTACATTTCCACCTGAACACTGAGAGCATCAGTTCAAAGCAGTGGTGAATAATAAGATATTGCAAAGACATTTACATCACACAGCACATGCAGTGTGTAATTTGGTGGTGCAAATGGCTAAAAGAAGAAATAGATTACAAATGAAAATAAGAGCATATTCAGCATAAAATAAGTGAAAGTGTAGGGGGTTATTACCTTTTTTTACATACAGAGTTTTCTTCGTCTGCATTATATTGCTATAATTATATTACCTGATGGAAACCCATGGACCATACTGCCACCCTGACAGATTTTGTCTTCCTCAGGGACTAAAAACATTGAGACTGGTGTGGATAATGATGGCTTCATATTCTTGAGCTACGAGTCTGATGAGATGAATGATGACAGCAAGTTCCTATGGAGCAAAAACTACACAGAGGCCATCGACGCCGGGAGAGCCCGAACAGAAACCAAGAAGAACAGGTAGGTTGATCAAGTGCAACGTGGCCTCTGTGTTTTTTTTTTCCTGTTATTTGGTGAATGACAGGAAATCTGTGACAGTGTTTGTGAACTCAGTCAAGTTGTTTTAGATATCTCTTTTTCAGACTCAGTGGAGGCATTAAACCCCTCACTCTCAGTGAGGCTCTCTGTCTGTCAATCCCTCAGTGTCTCTGTGCTTTTCACACTTTCAAATGCCATCTCTTGTTTTGTTTTTTTTCAGCAGCGACCTAACAAATGCTGTTTTCCCTGCACAGTCGCAGCAACTATGGAAACGTTTCAAACTGAACAAGAATGTGGATGTTCAAAATATGATGACAAATTAGCCTACTTCTGTAACACTTTTAAAGAGTAGGATTTAAAAAGAGGCCATTAAAACATGAGATGTGGTTTGAATTAATTGAATTCACTTTCCGAGTTGACATTTTGGGAGTATTTCTCACTGGATTCCCAATGAATGTCAGCCTCTTTGGATTATCCGATTCCTGAGCTTGAGGGAAGCTTGCCTGCTAGGTCTCACATTCACTCTTTTCCCCTCATTCATAGCATGTAAAACAAAAAAAAAGGTTAATTTTAAGTCCAGTTGGCTTTAAGGCGTTTGGTCTAAGCCACTGGGACTGGAAGCACAGTGAGATCTGATGGCTGACAGCACAAAGCAACACCTACAGCAGCTTTTGCTGCAGGGTGGACGGATAAATACGAGGCTGAAGTTGCTGTCTAGATGCATTTGTCTGTTTTTCAATTCATCCCTCAGGTCAATCCTCACCTTCACCAACCCCTCTGAGGAGGATCTGGGTCTTTACACAGTAGAGATGAGTGATAACGCCAACCTGTCATCCAGCTACGACTTCACTGCTGAAGGTGAACTGAAACCTTTTAGTTGTTTAAATGTGTGAAAGAAGTAAAATAAAATAGAGTGGAAGTTTCATGTTAGTTAACTATCTTGTCCAATTCATATTCACCTGAAACAGACCAGTTCAGCTCAGCTGTCTCTAGTGTTATTGAAGACGCTGATGGCAGCAGGAATAGCATTACTTTTAATTTTAAGGGTTATCAAGCTTTTCTCTCAAGCAAATAATTATGCTCCTCACAACCACTTCCACAAGGTCACTCATCCAATGAAGCACATGTTCTCAATCAACTTTCCAGCTTAGCAGCTTTAAAAATAGAGCCGTGCAAGCCATTGTTGTACTTGCTGGTACTTTGACAATATGTAGGTATTACAAAATGTGACTGCTGATCAAAGTGTAATTAACCTTCAGCTGCTGTTTTACTTTTTTTCGCAGACCTTGAACGACTCAAAGAGCTCAGCTGGCAAGTCAGAAATCCACGTATGTACCACAAAGATGCTGTACTGTATGATAAGTAGACCGCCTGTAAGCAGTCAGTAGTTTAAACACACATTAAGTATTCTTCATTGATTTAATGATCATCTAACTAATTCAGCTTAGCCTGTAAGACTCTGCTGTGTTTAATTTCCATTTGGCAGTGATAGCTCTGAAGTCGGGCTGGCAGGTGGAGGTTTCTGAGAAAGGCGACGTACGTCTTTGGCTTCAGACTGAGAGTCTGAGTAACGCTGCCGAGCTCCGTCTCATCTTCAATGACCGGGAAATCACCAGCACTCCGGTAAGAAGCCGTTGCACAGGCTATCCTGTGGTACAGCTGTTCAGAAAGTTCAGCATGTCACAAACCCTGTCAGGGTTAAAGGATTAGATTCCCTCTCTTGCTAAGTATGTTTGATAAACGGATACACCAACGGGATGTTGATATGTTATTTTTATACAGTTTCATTCATCATTCATGTTTTAGAAAGGTTACTTATTGTTACCCTAGTTCTTTGAGCACCTGCCAGAGCCTCTTAATGTTGCCGCCCCCTCTGAACAGCAATTTATCTCACGTACACACATGACTCCTAAGGGGCTGCAGGACTAAGATTTGTTGGTGATCCCTACTGGCCCCCACTGTACAGGGCAGTTTCATTATTTCCCCAGGCACCCAGAAACTAACCTGGACTCAAGAGCAGAAATTACTTGTTGATTGATCAATTAGTTGATTGACAGAAAATTAATTGTCAAAAAGTTTGATAAATGATAAATCATTTAAGTCTTTTTGTAAAGGAAAAATAAATTCACTTGTTCCAGCTTCTTAAATGTGAATATTTCTCTAGTTTTCTACAATTGTAGATGCAGAATCTTTGTATTTTTGACAGCTGGTCAGACAAAACAAGAAATTAGAGTGTTACCTTGGGCTTCAGGGAATAAAAATGGGCATTTTCACTATTTTCTGACATTTAATGAATCACTTTTATAGACTTGTTGATAATGAAAACAGTTCTTTTCAAGCTCTCCTTTGATGCAATAAAGTTCAAAAAGTAGGAAAATGTCATGAAACTCTAGAAGGCTTATATAACATTAGTGTGTTGCTGCATGCATCTGTCTTCATGACAAGTCACTACGAATCAAACACGGCAATTAGTGTTTCAATAAATATCCTGGAAGGCAGGAAATTGAGGCTGCCGGCAAAGATGAAGAGCAGGTGCGCAAGGCAGCAGGAAGGTCTACGAGCTGAGCTAATTTCACAAAGTCTTGGAGACAGGAGGATCAACCGACCTGAAGGTGAAGAAGGAGCCCACATCTGGTTAATATGTTAGTTCTGGTGAGATGCAAAAGAAAGGCAGAGGTGGCATAAATGGACAATGTGGACAGTTTTCTTCAAACAAACATTATTGAGGGGTAGTAAAGCAACAGGATGTCAATACCTAATAGTGGGTCTTTAGTACTGGGTGAAATGGCTTGTTGAAATTGGAAACTGTAGACGTATAAGGCATGATGTGTAAAATATATTAATGATAAATATACATGCCTTCTTTTAGAGCCTTTCCTATGGCATCAGTTGCACAAGTAATGCTGAAATGTGTATACCTGCACTTAATATGCTGTTCACATATCTCAGAAATGACCTCCAAATTCATTTACTTTCATTAAAGAGCTCAGTGAAAGCAAGAGCTATTTGCAACAAAAACAAAAGGCATTTTCGTAAACATCCTTCCCATTATCACTGACAAAGTAATGTAATGCTATTGCAAGAAGTAATATGGAAAATAGAGACGGTGGTGATTTCACCTGCCGTTTTAAAGTTCAATTTGCACTCAGATGACCTAAAATAAAGAAACAGTATAATCATTGAGGAACATAAACTGAATGTGAACAAACCTCCTCAACACTCAAATATGTTATGACACCAAGATAATCAGCACTGTCGTCAAGGTTATTGAACCATGCACCAATGTGTTCTCACCACAGAGAGGAAAAACAAATACAACACAATATATTTATCGTGGTTTTTGACTTTGTCTGCTGATTTTTGTGTGTCTGTGTTTGTGTGAGGCGGGCGACTGCTTTATATTCAGCAGCTCCCATTTATCGCTCGTATTTCATTTTCATTTATTCCATTATTTCCCAATATCAGAGTTCCATCTGAACAGTACTGATTACACGTTATTTCTAAATGATCACAGCTGAGGTTTGCAAATTCAAAAGCCATTTAGCTGATTAAAACCCTTAGGCCTGCCATACATCACAAATCACATCCACCACTGAGGCCTATCAACATGCAAGGCATACACTTATCTTGATGAACATAAAAGCCATGAAAATGAGCTCAAAGGCTGTTTCCTCTGTGCACTTGTTTGTCTGTGTTTCTTTGTGTGTGTGTGTGTGTGTGTGTGTGTGTGTGTGCGTGCGTGCGTGCGTGCGTGCGTGCGTGCGTGTTCAAGAAAAAAAGGAATATTTCATTTGCAGTGTGCTTGTCAGTTCAGACTCTTTCATGCACTGCTCCACACTAGATTCCCTCTGTATGACTAACCATATACTGTATATACTATAGCAAAGAGCATGTGTGCCTGCCATCTGTCATCTGTGTACTGTATATGTGGCAATGTTTGTTTGCTCTTCTGCAGCACCGTAAGATCAACTTTGACAAGACCAAAGGTCTGGTGGAGATCCTGTTTGACCAGCTCTCTCAAGAGGACGAGGGCTCGTACACGGCTCAGCTGAGAGACGGCCGCGCCAAAAACCAGTTCACTTTAGTCTTTGTGGATCAGAGTAAGTCATTCACTCACCTCCCACTAAGCTGTTATACTGCTGTTACATACCATACAACAAGCACAAAAGAGAAAAAAAGAAAACAGTAGCTGTAAATTTGATATCGCCCTAGCTCAGTTTTTTTTTCTGAGTATTTAGGGGTTTAAGCTACTTTAGCAACCATTCTGCAGTTAAGAACTGACATATATTTTATAGTCAGTCTATTGCAATTACTATCTATGCAATTACTTTAGGCCAATAAATCAATAATTGAGTATTTCCCCACCACCCCAACTCATTTCTATTCCACTCGTACCCCAGAATGAAGACGGCTTTCAGCATTTAGGTATTCTTAATGTCGAAATGAAATTTACAAAAAATATAAGTGAATAATAACAGGGCGTTAGCATGGGCCCAACTGCCATTATTTCTGGATGCTAAAGATCTACTCTATTTAATTGTATCATCATCGTGCCATCATCAGCAATTAGAGGATCTGATTTGCGCCACAATAACTCTTGGTTCTGTAGGGACATAAAACCCAGGTCAAAGTATCATCTTTTAAATCTTGTATTGAAGCATAATGTAATCTAAGAGCTAATGCTGATTGTATTTTACTAGAATTGTTTTTTTACTCTTTTTAAATACTTTTTTTTTCACAGAGAGGTTCCCTGTTTGATTAGATTTTATATTTGAAAAAAATAATTAGCTGTCTTGTGTAAAGCACCCTTTGTATAAAAGCAACAACAGCAACCAATGCTCAAACTTGATGCATATTTTGGTGCTTGACATTATTTTGAAAACAACAGGTTATCATCACCTCTTCCCATATGGCCTTTGTGATCCCACTGCTGTGCAGCATATTGGGGTCTGCTTTGCACTCGATCTGTTATTTATAATCTCTGATATATTACTTTCTGTGTCTGTCAGAGTTCCGTGAGACGCTGGCGTTGGCAGACGCAAACCGGCATGACCATCAGAGGAAGTCCGGTGAGAAAACTTCAAACATTAGAAACATACAGTAAATACAATCAGAGCCTCTGCTGCTCGGCCCGGCACGGCTCTACTGTGTTCAATTCAAAGTCACACTCACTGTAGTACATCATCTGTGGGCGTTTAACCTATTGCTGAAACAATACTTGTGTTGCATCAGTTGTATAGTGAGTGAGTGATACCACGCAGCTTAGAAACACATAAACACGACTCTCTCATCTCATTCCAAGGTGAATGTTATATCTAAGAAATGCAGAAGCTTTTTGAGGATTTTTGCATTGAGTGACACAGCTGCTTTGTCTTGTCACATAAAGAAAGAGAGGAAGCTTCCTGTGCCACTGAACTCCACAAACTCCACATCACCCACAGTTCAGGAGTGATAAGGAGAGGCTATACAACTCTTTTGTGTGTAGAGGCCAGTGTCCTTGTTCAAATAGACTACCTCACACCATGTCCACTATTCAGAGTCCACATGAGACTCAAAGTCCATATAACACTTTTTTTTTTGATTGGTGATTTGCAGAATAATACGATGCACAAGAGATATTTAACCAAGTGGGACACATGTTTACTACTACTGCATGTTGTTTTACATAGTCATAGTATTGACATATTATTGTGTATTATGGCGTCATCGGTCGCTCTGAATAAATGATTGTCTCAGGGTCACTGTTTCTATGGTTCAGTGCTGATGAATAATAATTTGTTCTGTTTTCATAGGACCCTATTTCCAAGAATACTTGTCATGGAAGATAAATGAGGATTGTGAACTCATTATACAATGCAAGGTACTTTTATATTTTATAGAATAGATTTTCTAATGGCAATAACAGAATATCATAATAGGAAAGGTTATACTTTTACTATTACTAACCAAATCATAGCAATAATAAAACTATCATCAGAGTCCAGGAAATGTTCTACTTTTCTTATTACTTCTTAAAGCATTTCTGTATTTAAAAAAACTACTGATGATAGTGATTCTGGCTCTTTTAATCCATAGCACATAATCTGAAATGCTTTATCACATAATTTCCATACTTTTATTTATGTTTTTATTCATTTAACTGTTAATTAACCAGGAATGCCTTAGTAATATTAAAAGGTCTAGTGCCCTAGCCAAGATAGGCAGCAATAGCAATGATTTACAAACAAGTAACTTAAGACAGACGACACATGAAATGTGCCACAAAATCAAAATTTGACAGAAAAGATAAATCATTTCAATCATACAGTCATGTAAAAGCCTACAAACAAACTCAATGCAACCTAAGACCAATCCAAAAGAATAACTTGAACTCAATCAGAGTTTCTGCAAATCTTAGTCTTTGAATTTAGTCTCCTAAAAAAAAGGCCTGAGAAGATTTAAAAAAAAATCTTCATTTACAAAAGTTTTAAAAATTTTCTTTTACCAACCCTTGGCAGTAATGTCAGTTCTACAGTGTTTTTATATCTGATTGTGATCTGTCTGTCTGTAGCAAACACTGTCACTACTGCTGCCACATTAGCTAGAAAACTCATCTAATCATAACGAACAGTGTAGATTTTAGCAAAAACTTAAAATGAACTTAAATTAATTAATCATTTTTCATTGATTAATCCATTCATCTATTTTATGCTGCTTATGTGGATTCAGTTTGCCTTAATTCCGTTGATTATATCATTAAGAAATTGAATAGGTGTTTTTGTGAAATGGGTATTAACTTTTGATTCAAATTTAAATTGGTGAATTCTGCAGAAACCATGTTAATGAACTTAACACATCCAGATTTTAAGTATCAAAAATTATCATCAGAGGAGCGGGCACACAGTTTCTGCAGAGAGTTACACTGTGGTGCTTTTAAAGAATAGAATAGTCCTTGTTTTTTTTTTTTTACAGATATGGTACATCTCTCCTCTCACAGGTGACAAATACAAACAAGGACACATCTCTCAAGTGGTTTAAAGACGGCATGGAGGTGACCCAAGTTGTGTACGAGCAGTCATCCGGGGTCAGCAGCCTCACCATCTCACAGGTACCCGAAACGATTCTGCCCCGATCTGTTTCCAGGCTACAAGATGCGAGGAGGAGAGTTAAGGGCTCAAATGTGAATCAGCATTCATAAATGGCAGCCAGTGTAGTGAGAGGAAAACAAAATAAACAGACTGACAGACAGTTGATGTTTATAGGATTAAGTCTGGACATGTCTTATTCTGTGTTATTTTTGAAACGCTCCCAGGTTCACCTTGATGTGTATTTTAAGCTTGACCTGAAAATAAATTTGAAATTGAATTCAAGTATTTGGGTGTTCTCCAGAGATATCAATATTTCATTTGAGAAGTCATGAATATGTTTAACTTTAATACGTTGAATGGTTTTTCCTCAGGTTACAAAGAAAGAGGCAGGCTCGTACAGAGCTGTGGTGTCGGATAAGAGAGGAGAGGACGTGAGCACCTTAGACTTACTGGATAATGGTGAGACGTGACCTTGTCAACAGCAACTATCCACAAATAATAACCCCCATTTGTTCCTATGTGCATTTGAGCTAACACAAATCTTCTATCAGTAATAGAACAGTGATTAATGTGTTTTATTTTTTTCCTTCGTTTCTCATTAGGTGTTCTCAGCATCCAGCTTCCCACCTCTAATCTTGTGTTTAGTATTTGAGTGCCAATAGCCATATAAAAGACTGTATGAAGCTTAATTGTTCTTTTTATTTACAGAGTATGACAATCTTCTCCAGCAGCTGAGCAAACAGTGTGGTGAGTTATTCACAGTTGGAAGCTCTACTTTACAGAACAACCTTTGCGAAATGTGCCAATGACTTGATTTTTACACCAGCTGTGCTGTGTTGGGATAAGGATAATACAACTGAAAGCTGTGATAATTAATTGTTGTGTGTGTAGTTTCAGAGAATATTAATGTGTTGAGCTCCCCAGATAAAAAAAAAAAAAACACTTTTAAATTGTGAGATAAACTGCAATGTATATACAGACTATAATATTATATAATCAGGAGCAATGGCTTCTCTCTGTCCATCTCTGCAGCATTGTCAGCCGGACCACTGAGCATTCAAAGCACTGCTGAAGGCTTCAAGCTCTACAGCTCACTCAAATACTACATCAGCTACCTGAAGAACAGCTGGCACTTCAAGTGAGTCCACATGCAGAGCGCCTGTCTGATCGAACATCCTCTGTGCAGCAGCTACAGGGAATCGAGGATTCAAAACTGAACGTGAAGTCTTCTAACTTAAGTCCTGAATACAAATGTTGAAAATCATCATGCTCAGAAACACCTGCACAGGAAAGCAAATGAAAAGAAGCTTAAAGTTTATTTTGGCTTGTCTTGGCAGTGCGGTCAATTGTTTACTGCGAGCCACAGAAGTGCAACACTGGAAATGCCGCATCAAAGGACAGAAAGATGTACACGATACTCTAACAGTCTATGAAAGTCATCAGCATGACAGCTGTCTCATAGGCTGGTAAGGTACTGTGGCTAACCAACACATGCACACAGCTGCAGCTAGTGTGCCTGTGCACAGCATAGACCATAAAAAGTAACCACTCATACCGGACTGCTGCATATGCTCCCACACAAAACCCGGTGGAGATGAGACATTAATGTAAATAACGACTGTACCGAGAGCGGCATACCCAACATTTCCATGGTTACTATAATAATGGTCATGGCTGGGTTAGGTTTAGGTGCAAAAACTACTTGGTTAGGGTCAACATACATCAGATGATCTTTGTTGTCATGGTTGCAATAATAACAACGAACGGTCACGGATAATAGAAACAATATAAACCTCTGATTTTTGTTGACCCATCCATCCACCCCAACTTCCTCCTAACGCGGACTTTGTCACTCTTTATACTACGTCACTGCACTTTTCCCTTTGCTCCCGTCATAATTACTTCGACCACAACATGTCGCCTAACAACAAAACGTAACTATGGGTCGAAATAAGTTGCAGCACAAACAACCTGTGGGCTCGTTGTTCACTGGAGGACAGTCTCGAACATTTGTTTTCCCCTTCTGGCAGCGAGAGTAATTACACAAACACTGTCGTTTCCAGAGAGGAAAAGCAACACCAGTGGTAATCCATGTTTGTCCTCGCCGTTGATGGTTTTCTTTTTTAGACTGTAATCCTTCCTCTTTTTTATCTGGAGCATCATAAACTTTGCTTCAATGCTTTATTTGGTTTTTCAGGCATAGGCCCCGCCATACTCCTAGTTGCTGTATCCTAGTTAGTCTCCGTCGCTGTGAATGCTCCCCTCTTTTGCTCCGGCAAAACAGTCGTTGCTGGTTGACGTAAAACCCATTGCCATAGGTGGGCCAGTGCAGGAGTGTCACCACAGACACCAGATTTAAAACTCTCTCAAGAAATACACAGAGATTTACCTGGTGCTGATAGGCTTAATCAGCACTGTAACAGATGTTCATTTATATGTACAAGCCCCACACTCCAGCTTTAATCTACTGTGACATTTCTCTTCTTGGTGGCAGAAGTGTAAGACTCCTGATTAAAGTTCAGCCTCTGAAATGCTTATTAAAGTTCAACTCATAACAACTTGAAAAGTTCAGTGTCTAAAATATGACAGTACAGCTGGATCTTGATGTCTCCATGCAGATGTTACTATGTGGCAGCTGGGGGCACATCTGGGCACTGAAACACCTGGTTCATCCTACTTATCTATTATAATCAGTTCAACAGAATGCTGCACATCACATCACGCTCTGCAGCCAAACTTTGTTCGAACCTGAAGTTTCCAAACATCAAATCTGTCAGGCTGAATTTTGGGGAAATACTGTATGTCTTACATGATGCACATGCGAAAAACGCAAAGAAACCATGAATTCTTGGATTTGTTTTCCACAGTCGAGAAAATCGAGAACAAGCAGATAGAGAGTATGTTATTGTCACGTTGTTATAAGATGTGTTTTTTTCCAACCTTAAAGGTATTTAAAGGGAAAATTAGCAATGCTAAGGAGAGATACCAACATGCTCTGAATTTCCATTCTGAGGCAGAGAAAGTCAGAGTTTAGCAGAGAGAGAGAAAAGAGAAAGTGGAGCTGTTGCATTCGACTAATTGTTGGACAGAAAACTGTTTGTTAGCTGGTCAGCGTTTTAAAATGCTAAAACATGCATGTGCATTTCGTCAAATTGAAAAATTCTGTGATAATAGCTTTAATGCCTTTGCAATTATTTAAAGGAACTACTGTATGTATAGTAAAACATGATTATGACATGCTTAAGGGTGTAGCCAGTTTCTTTAGTCAGGCTACTAGCACCATCTGCTGAGGCCTTTAAGAATGGCCACTGAAAATAAACTATAATGCCGAGTGACTGGGATAAAACAGTTAAATATGATTCCAGTCTGAAATGTAACTATAAAAATATTTCCTCTCAATTTTCTTTTCCACCTTTTATGAGTTTCTAACCCTCACTCACTTTCATCTGACTAAAAAAGGTTGGGATTTTGTAAAGATTACCTTGCATTTCACCAATTATAACTACTGGAAGCTGTGGGCAGCCTAACTCCGGTGCCCATTCGACCATCTGTATTGGACTAAGGCCAGTACTTTGGTCAAGGGCAAAAGCAGGAGAATACATTTCTTGACGAGGATCTGGCGCATCCAAATGGGGTGAGGGTAACTATATCTGTCTAAAGCATACACAGCAGTATAAAACAGTATATCTGTGCTCCTTGCCCTGTAGGGAGAAGAGGATTGACGAGGAAGCCAGGACAAAGACTGGCAGCAGCATGCAGAAGGTCTGGATTGAAATCTTTAACCCAACCGAGAATGATAAAGGCAAATACACCTTGGAAATGTTTGACGGCGAAGAGACACACAAACGGTATCTTGACTTGAGTGGACAAGGTGAGTGGGAATAATATTGAGGTTTACAAGTTTGATTTAAATGGATACCTTGCACAATTCCAGACTATGCAATTTCAGAGTAAATGTGATTCGATTTTAATCGGTCAGTCTATGTCTTGATCATTTCCAGCCTTTGCTGATGCCTTGCTGGAGTACCAGAGGTTGAAGTAAGTGTGGCAACATATGCACCTAGCATGGCTTGCTGTGACACTAACAGAAAACACAGAGGAGTCAGAGGTAACAGATTGTTTTCAAAAAGACCTACACAGGGGTGGTTGTTTTACTTGAAAACTATTCACAGAACACCATCTGAACTCAGACTATTGTTGCCTGACACTATACAATGTTGTATTGATTTGATGCTTTATTTTCATCCCTCAGGCAAGTGGCCATTGCTGAGAAAAGTGAGTCACAGATTATGTGTTAATCCTGAGAAATTTCTGTTTTACAACAAAGATAAAGACATTTTTACAGTGGATACCAACAGTGAGTTGTTGCTTATTTTGTTTCAGATCGGGCTAAAGTGACAAAAGGTCTTCCTGATGTGGTAGCCATCATGGAAGGCAAGGTATGTCATTGTCAAGAAAGCACTGCAGACACTTCAGTATTACTTGGAGACACAGTAATACACATTTACACTACATTGTGACATCGATGTCAATTTTTTGTGTGAAACAGATGTGCATGAATCATACTGTGGTTCAGTTACATTTTTGCAGATTTGATCCTTTCTATTGCCTATTGTTTAATATTTTCATGACTCCTCTCTGTCCTCTCCTCAGTCTCTGTGTCTGACATGCTTCATCGAAGGTGACCCAGCCCCAGAGATCTTTTGGCTGCATAATGACAGGGAGATCGTTGACCAGGCCCAGTTTACCATCACTAAAGAGCCAAAGTGCAGCTCCATCACTGTCAACAATGTCAAAATGGAAAATTCTGGAAAATACAGCATCTTTGTGCGCAACAAGTACGGTTCTGAGACGGTTGATGTGACTGTGAGCGTGTACAAGCATGGGGAGAAGCCTCCAGCGAATGCAGTAGAGATGGGTTAAAACTGCACATTGAGTCATAAAGTAATTTCTGCAAGGATGTTGTGATCCTGATAGAGATTTTAAGATAGAGATAGAGCGCTACATAGATGGATAGATTCAATATACTCGCAGTATTTGCTGCTAACTTTAGCTACAGTAAACAACTGGATGTTAGTTAACATTAGCTTATACTAGCTAACATTCACTACCAGCTAAGAATGCTGACTTCTCTCTGACTTCTCTCTTTACTTGTGCTACTGTTGTACAACATATACTATATTTACCGTTATCTGATAATTGGCTACAGTGACCATTGTTCAGCAAACGTAACTCTCTCACTTCAAGTGCTCACGAAGCAGCTGTCAAACAAAAACAAAAACTACAGAAGCCTCAGTTACTGGACTGAGCTTTTGGTGAATCAAATGTGTCATCTGTTTGTTTGTGAAATGAATAAAGCAAATTCAGTAATACATTTTCACTGGTGTATTATTTTTATTGGCACTTACTGTTTCATCATCATATTTACTCCATGACTTTAATTCAAATTTATGATCAAATATTGTTGCAAATGTGGACTTCAGCTTTGTATATGATTTTGCAAACAGAAATTATGTCTTGCACTTAGGCCATGTTGATTTTGTGGTTTGTACACATCGACACAGAAAAGAAGGAACTACTAGTACAATGGTGTACAGTATCCAACTTCTTTAGATACTGATCAGATGCATTCATAAAGAGCAGATCACCATAATCCAATAAAGGTAAAAAAAAGTTGCCATAATCAAGTGTGAGAGAGAAACAGGGTCTGTTTAATAAACTTGCAAAATGTTGCTTTGCCATTATGGGGTATTGAGTGTAGTGATGTTTCTTTCATTTTAGCATTAGGCTGCAAGATAGTAAAATGTGAAAAATTGAAGGGGTCTGAACACTTTCTGAATGCATTGTATTTCCAAGCTAATTCTGTCTCATTAATGAAAGAGATCATGTTCCACTCAAAGTCCCACAAATCATGAAGACAAGCTTGTTCATAGAAATGCTTACTTTAAAAGCAAACTGTCCGTAGTGTCAATAACCCTATAACCAGGTCCCAGTCAGTCAGGTAGATTCACATGAGGAGGTTCAACAGCAAAGAGGGAACCTTGCAGACGTGAATGAAAGTTCATTTAAGATCTCATGTTAAATGAAAGTCCCTAAATAAAATACATGTAAATGTGGCTTATAGTATCTCAAATGAATCAATTAAGCATTTTCTACTTTTGATCCTTTAGGTTACCATCTTCAAACTGCACCCTGAGCTCTGTAAATCTTACAGTAAATGACGATTATTTTTTATATGTTGTTCATGTGCTGTCTGTTTTCTGTGCCATCTGCATCCTGTCTTTCATCTATCACAAATAACAACAATACCAAAAGGCAGCATGTAAACAATTGTCTTTTTAATTATACAATAAACCATATTTCTGCATGCAATGATAAACATAAAATATGTACATATATAAATAATATATAGAGATAATATGAATATAAAATAGAACAGGAAATATGCACATATTTCCTATCAATGAAGCTCTTGAATACACTCAGTGTAAATACATTTGAAATTCATATTCAGTCAAAGTTGCCATTTGGCCAAACAGGAGTGAGTGAACTTCAGGTTGTTCAAACAGCAGTGATTACTACACAGGGCTTTGTTACTCATTACACATAGCAATGGGACCCGTTTGCCTGCTAGTATAAGACGGTTTGGGGGCACATCCACATTCTCCACATTGTGTTGAGCTTCGCACAGCTGTCTCAGCCTCCAGCCCACTTTGGTGAAGGAGATCCCAGACCTTCTAGAAAACATGGACTTCAATGGAACATGGCAGGTTTACGCTCAGGAGAACTACGAGGAGTTCCTCAGGGCAATGGGTGAGAAAAAGACGAGGGCCTGCAAGGCTTGGCATATAAAAGAAAACTACATTTGGTAACTAAAGACAAAGTGGCTATTTTGACTCTGTTAAAACCTCCTTCCCTAACCCTAATATCTTTTGTAACAACAAAGACAACATAGCTTTGCAGCCCAGAGATTGATCAGTCCTTACTTTTAAGTTCCACTGTGAAAGAAGTAACAAAAACAAAAACTGTACTTTTCTCAACAGAACTCCCAGAAGATATCATCAAGCTGGCCAAGGACATCAAGCCAGTTACTGAGATCAAGCAGAGTGGCAGTGACTATGTTGTCACCTCCAAGACCCCTGGAAAGTCTGTGACCAATTCCTTTACCATTGGCAAGGAGGCTGAAATCACCACCATGGACGGCAAGAAGCTCAAGGTTTGTCATTCTAATTTGCCCTTTATTTTGCAAGAAATATAGCTTTTGAAAACTACTTTAATGTAATGTAGTTGATTTAATGTATCAGTCTTTACTATATTTTTTTGTGAAGTATAAATATTTAAAGCAAAACTTATTTTCTGAAAAAGTCTTAATAATGAGCCTGCGAGTGTGCAATGTCACGGAAACTCCACTAATGATAATGTTGCACATGTCAGTGTTTTGTTCTGGTTTCTTTTTTTTTTGGGGGGGGGGGGCTGAACCTGTTTTTGTGGATTCATGATATGTATTGTCTCCTCCTCTGACCACCAGTGCATCGTCAATCTGGAGGGTGGCAAATTGGTCTGCAAGACCGGCAAGTTCTGCCATGTCCAAGAGCTCAAGGGAGGAGAGATGGTTGAGGTGTGTCCTACCAGAATTCCCTCTTTCTTGCACACATCTGAAATCAAAATCAAAATTGACTCGCTGTTTAATGGCTCACCTTTATGTATCATCAGCTTAAATAATGTAATTTATCTCCTGTCCATATATTAAATGTGTTTACTTTTCTCTTATGCCTTTTCAGACATTGACCATGGGCTCAACAACTCTCATCAGGAAAAGCAAAAAGATGTGAACTTGGCAGTGAAGTAACCAATGTCTAATAAAAGTGTTGCTTGATAAGAGTGGTTTGTTTCATCATTCTGTGCAAATGCCCACACATGCCTCTTTTTGCACTGGCCTACCCTGCTCTATGCCTGACATCTACTGTATAAAGATATATGAATTAAACAAAAAGTGAACTAGATCTTTGCAAAGAAGCATTATAGCAAAGGTTTGTTATAGTTTGATGCCAAACTAGGTGTATTGAGACCCCTATTGGTGCTGAGTGAGTGCAGGGTATATAGGCTACAGGTTTCAGAAAGTCTTTAAAAAATCATGCAGTGCCCTGAAATAACAATGATAATGAAGCCTTGGAATGTAGGCTAGTAAAAAGTTTTCAATTTCATTCAGAGGATTCTTGAATATTTTTTCTAGGCTGCTGTAGACACTCACTAGGAAGCTTGTCAACTTGTGATGAACGTAGTGGATTTTACCCAAATTTAAATAAAAAAATAACCATTTTTTAATTGGTTAATCAATTCATAATTTTTGTGTTGCTTATCTGGGTCCAGGCATGGATTGATTATAAAACAATGGGGCCCTAGGCATAGACAAGTAAAAGGTCCCTGCATGTTCTGTATAGAACCACCAGACTCACAAACTTAGTAGTTGTTTTGCATCTATTTGGGGTCATTTTACATCTCTTTGTGGTTGTTATTTGTCTCTTTGTGGTGGTTTTGCATATCTTTGTAGTTATTTTGTGTCTCTTTTGAATAGTTGTGCCTATCTTTGTAGTCTTTTAATTGAGCTTTGACTTAAAAAAAAAGAAGTATTAACAGCTACTTCATACAAAGGCTCTGACCCAGGGGTCAAAGGGCCCCCTGGGCTCCGTCTTCGGTAATTCATATATAGTTCCAGTTACGTGAATTACATTAATACTCAAAAGTTTTGGGATAGTGTGACAAAAGGAAGTACTTGCATGAAATACAAAATAAAGTAGGAGTGGTGACTTGAATAGTAAACTTTCTATCATAGGGGAACATCCAACTAGCCATTGTAATCCGTGTCAAGAAACAGAGACAGGAAAGCATGTAGCCTACTGATTTCATGCAAGGAAGAGGAAAGAAAAGTCAATGGGCTACAAGAGGCGATGATCAGTGGGAACCAGTGTTAGAGATCTGCACGAGTGTGGGGACATGGTTAAAGGGAGAGAATGGATATTCGGGTTTAAAGCCAGAAGGAGGCGGTAATGCAACTTTAAGGATGCCAACAACTCCCAAAGAAGAAGAGTGCCTCCGTAGCAGCGCGTGCGCAGTGTGACGAAAACGCTTCGACCACGTAGCTACTAGCTAGTATTAGCTGCAGCAAAGCATCAGGGTTTGTGAGAAACAGCTGTAATAAACAAATTCACGGCCACCAATTTGTTGAAACGGGCCGTTGAAAATGGCGAGGTACCTGAGGCCTCCTAATACCTCTCTCTTCGTTAGAAACATCGCTGATGAGTCCAGGTATGTATCATTTTTAACCCTGCTAGCGTGTATGTAAGCATGGTCAAGCTAACGGAATGCTAGTTTGTTAGCAAACATATGTGCTACCACCAAAATGGCTAACTAGGAGTGATCCCAAACAAGGAGACAAGAGTGTGTGTATCTATTTTTAACCGAAAATTGTTCCAGATAACTATTACAGCTATCATTAACACATTTCTCTACATACGATGATAATATCTAGCAAACGAGAATTCGAAAGACTGTTGTTGCAGCTTAAGTTTTAGCAAGTTGCTTTATATACAGCGCATAAATCCATGCTCTAGAGTTACTGCAACAATTGCATGATATTTTGTTTGAAGTGAGTTACTTGTATGCAAAGTGAGCTAACTGCCGGCCAGCAAGTCTATTTTTCACCAGTGTCTTTTAATTAACTGGCTAATTGAAAGGTTTCATATGTGAACAACCAACACATTCTTTGTGCACTTCAGCATCTGTTGTTACTTTACTTTAAGTATTGCATAGTTCCCGGTTCACAGCCTAGCCATCAGGTCCCAGCAACTCCTTGGGTATTTTCCAACAATGTCTTGGACCCAATTTATTAATTTCAGACCACAATTTCTTGGGAGTTGATGTTTGAATTTTAACAGCCAGTTAACAGTTCTTTCTTTGAAAATGCTTTAAACTCTTAATCTTTGTCAAAACCGTGTTTACTATTCTTAAAAGGTTATTCTTTAATGGTTTATTTATCCTTTTATATACTTGGACAGTTGGAAATTTAGTGAGCAAATTTACCTGTCACTGCAATTGTCTCTTCAAAAAAATTAGTTATTAACATAGTACTAAAATATAAAGCAAACTTTATGTATGCTAATATCTTTTTAAGAGTGATACATTTTCTGGTTTTACAGTAAGATCCCACAACATACTTTGAAACCCTTTTTTGGATTTAGAATTTAATGTAGAATTGTGACACCACTGGGCTGTTGTTGCCTGGGAACCCATTGAAAACATTTGGTTGCCTTGACAATAGCATGCAGTTTGTGACATAGTGCATTTTGTAATTACAGCTTATCAAAATGAACATGTTGTAGTTGCTCTGATACATAAAACTGAAATTATACAATGCACAGAAGTTCACGCACATCATAAAATAAATAGTCTATCTCTTTCCTCAAGTGGTATCTACCCCTGAATATAGTGAAGATAGTTTGGGATATATGTGCCAGGGTTTTTAGACTCATGCTACTAACTCAAACAATGGATTAGAATACAATTTTGTGCTTGATGCACTCAAAATGTAAAAAACTAAAAAGTTTTGTAAACCATGCTCTGAATAGTTTTAAGTGGAACTGTTTTCTACACAGGAAATACTTCCCAACAATTTATGTACATAATTCCGGTTGCATGAGATAGTTTCACCACTGTGCCAGTTATTTGACATTGACCCCAAAGTGTACCCATGTCCAAAATACTTTAATTGCTAACAGATGAGAGATAGTAGACAGTCCACAAAACACAGCAACCACTGGCACACTTGACAAGTCTTTCTGTTACATCTATGACCTTTTCTTGCTGCCTCTTTTCCAAGACTTTGACTAGAGATGTTACTGTAATAAATGTTGCCTGGTTAACCCTTGACACTTTGTTGTTTCTTTGAATAGATAATGCATGCCATTTCTGGGTTTTATGGCTGCTGTGGATGTGTTAAATTGGATTTCTGGGGTTTTATTTGTACAATTACACCTTTAAATGAGACTTCCCTTTGAAGTGGGAAAGTGATAAGATTTGTGTGCCAATAAGTATTGTCATATGCTGTGCTGGCACCTGTACTTGTGTATACCTTGCACTCTGGGCTCCAGCTAAATTGATATGGTAGCCAGCAGAATAAATGTGCTTGTTTCATGACACTTTAGGCCAGAGGATTTACGACGTGAGTTTGGTCGTTATGGGCCTATTGTAGATGTCTACATTCCACTTGACTTCTATACACGGCGACCAAGAGGATTTGCTTACATTCAATATCCTTTATTCCTTTAATTTTGAAATGGCGTTTTCACTGATGAATCATAAAGTGTCTAAATCTAACTATCTGGCTACAGTGACACCTGACCTGACATTTATTTTTTTTGAGGGGTCACTTTTGTTTCAGAAATGTTTATCCCATTGCATGGGAATGTTTTTATGTAATTTTATTTTTAAGTGTTATTTGTTATCTAGTATACTGTATTCAAATTTAAACCTATTCCTAACCAATATTTCCTCTGTTGTTGCCTTAGAATGGTAAAGATACTGTTCTGGAGACCCCACACCAAAGAAAGTTGAAAGGCGGTTGTAGAGTAGATTCAAGCCAAAGACACCCAGGCGACAAGCAATAGTGGAATTGGGAAAATAAAGAGAGAGCAAAAGCATGAAGATACAAAGAGGAGAAAAGAGAGCACCCAGGCTTCCATTTGTCTACCAAAGGGAGGAAAAGCAAAGTGTTTATTGGGCAAAGACAAGCAGGAAACCTCAAGTTCTTCTGCCAAGACAATAAAGATCAAGCTGAAGGTCAAAGGTCAAGCATGTTAAAGGTAACAAGCCAAACTTTTTGTATCCTACCGAATCTGATCACCATCAATATTTGTCTTGTCTTGACAATCTGAAATCACAAATGGGCCTGTTGATTCAGTTTTATGTTATTGTAATTGCAGTAGGTATCACTGAAGACAATAAATTATGAATTAAAAAATTATGCCAAGAGAATGAATTATTATCATTTTTACTGTTACCTGAAATAACTGATTATTCGTCACACAGATCCAGAAGCTGTGTGTTTTCATTTGGAGCTGTCAACTTGTGTTGCAACCTTTTCTTTGTAATTGTTGTGCATGTGTGAAGCCTTCTGTCCCAGCTATCCAACAAAAAAAAAAAAGAAAAAAAAAAAGACCTTAACAACACAGCATGTTTGAAGATGTTCGGGATGCAGAAGACGCTCTTCACAACCTGGACCGTAAGTGGGTTTGTGGACGTCAGATCGAGATCCAGTTTGCCCAGGGAGACCGCAAGAGTATGAACAATCTGCATTCCTATCTAAGCATAGCTACTTTAATGTTTCATGCAACTTTGTTTTGGAAATACAGTTTATTGATACCTAATGTTTGTATATAAATTTGCCCATCAAGCCCCTAACCAGATGAAGTCCAAGGAGCGTCATTCCCCACGCAGTTTCTCCCGCTATGATGATGATCGGGATAGCCGGCGAAGACGATCTCGGAGCCGCAGCTATGATCGCCGCAGGTCCCGGAGCCCTTCCTATGAACGCCGCCCTCGGAGGTCTGAGAGCCCTAGAGAGTGAGTTGTTGGCAACCTTGCTACATATACAACCTAAGTTTCCTAAATTTTTTATTAGAACCTGTGATTTCTGGTGCTGCAAAGCTGTGCTGTATCAATCACTGTAAATTAGTCTGCTTAAGGATAACTATGTGCTAAAAAGTGTGTAGTAATTAGGGGTATCAAACCTGAATACTTTAACAAAGTACCAGCCAAAATGTGTCCATAGCATCAAGTATCAAGTTGGCATTGAATGCTTGGTCAGATTCTAAGGAAATATCAGATCAAAGAATAAGTGAACAAATCAGATCTAAATATATTTATATTAAGTTCCTTATAAAACAGATGCTTTGAGCACGTGACATATTTTGTTAAAAGTAAAGAAAAAAGGATTAAAGCGCCAGAAGATCTATTTAGTCAGTACTGAAATACTGTGTCGTATTGGCAATGTCATTTAAAAGTTTTAAAGGGTCCCCAAGAAAGGGTAGTGTATTTAAGACTTTTTGACAGACCCACCACAACTTGGACACCTAAACACAAAAAAATCATTTTCATTTAGATGGAACTCTCATTTCATGATTTGTTGGACGCCATAGTCCTTTTTCTGAGTGTTATTTGTCCCACTGTAAGACAGTCTATACAGGTTTCATGTGATGTGAGAAGTTCCTGCTCAATCTTTATTCTGACTATTTAAACCGGGAACTGGTTTAAACCAGTAGTGTCAGTGAATGAGTATGACGCCATACACAGCCTACTTACATGAACCCATTGTTCTCATATCCTGGAAATATTGCTGGCTACACCCTGAAAAACTGGTGTTCTTTTTGTTTCCTGTACAGATCTCGGTCCTACAGTCGACACAGACGTAGCAGAAGCCATGAAAATGACAAGTAGGATCATTTGATATCTTGCAGTTATTAAATAATAAGGATTACTCTCTTATGATTAATAATGTTTTTATCCCACCAGGTACAGAGGTCCTCCCCGTGATCATCACAGAACACACCATGAACCAGGCTCACGAAGCCGCTCCGCATCCCGCTCCCCTTCACCCTCCAGATCCAGGCCCAAAGGTAAAAAGAGCCAGTCCAGGTCCCACAGCCCCACTGAAGATTTCCACCCAACCTCAAGCTCCCAGAAACAGTCAGTGGGACGATCTCCATCCCGCTCCTACTCTAGATCCATGTCTCGGTCACGCTCTCGCTCCAGGTCCTGGGCTGGACGCAAGTCTGGAGGTCACTGACTGCCTGGTCTTCCAAAGCCCTCTATTTATCAGTCTAAGGATGTTTCTGTTCAGCTTTCAACCTATGATAACTAGAGTGTTATGCTCTATATTTTCATTTGTTTATCATCACATTATGGTTGCCAAAGGAAGGAGCAGTAGCAGGAGCGGAGATATTTTTTCAAGCATATTCAGAAAAGCTTTTTGTTCTTAAGTGAGTCATGAAAGCACAGCTGATCCCTGGAAAGTTTTGCCAGGTTGTCTTTTTTGGACTTGTGTAATGTGGGTTTTTGAAGGTGGCGATAATGTTGCGGTTTGGCTTTGCCAATATTTTTTTTACTGAGTTAGCAATATTTAGATTCATACGTTTGTTAATACAATGCCTGTCTCAGTTTGGTATGTTATGTGAACGTGAATAAAAATTTAATTGAACTTCAGGCCAGTATTACCAATATTTGTATTTAAGTGCCCCAACCATACAAGCCTGGTTCCAGGGGCACTGATACAACAGGCAAGCTGTATACTGTAGTAGCAGTTTCTGTAGTTACTATGGCAATGGAAGATGGATGGAATGCAGTCAGTTGTTACCTGATACTTGATCAAATATTTCATGTGACAGTATGTTCAAGGTGAGCTGCACTCGTTTACCATGTACTTCAGTGAGTCAAAGTCAAGTGTTCCTTAGTAGTTATCATTTTAATGGTTTTACTTGGTTTGCTTTATCAATAAAGAAATAAATTCTCTCTATTTTTTTTTTTGAACACCTAACTTGTACAGCGACTAGGATAGTAAGGCCTGAGAGTTCAGATTGCCATAATTGGTTTTGATGGTAATTGAAGGCCTACTCTTGGACTACACACATCATATATTGCACTAAACACAATCAGAAGATACTCAAACACAATCAGAAGATACTCAAACACAGACAAAAGTGGGGGGAGGGGGAAGGGGTTTATTTTTTTTGTCATCAAATTCAGAGAAATTTGCTTTTTTTACAATTCATACCAATCTTTAAAACGGGGCATATTACTTTTCCATTTCTTCGTGACATTGTATCAGGGGGACAAATTCATAGCCAATTCATTACAAGTTTAGTTTACAAATTTAGAATAAGGAGACTCTGCTATGCATGGCTCAATCAGGGCAGGAAAGAAAATCTACATGAACAACCAATAGAAGGTAATACTTAAACAGCATGGGGCCAAATTCAATTGTCAGCTGGCGGAAGAACAGCAGAGAATTGAAAGTGGTTCTGATAAAAACATTTGGTCAATTTGTGGCATTGCCACCTAATGAAAATAATTTTGTCATGGTTTCAACTTAGGCACAAACAGGTCAACTCAAGATTAAAAGCATCAGGCTTACCTACTGAAAGCACATTCAGAACTCAAATGCATACATATGCAAGTCTCCTCAGATCCAATTGATATTTGTTGCAGTCTTAATTTGCACTTAGCATCTTTCACCCTACACTGCATAATACAAAACAATAAAAAACATGTGCAAGATCTCTGGAAAGATAACAGTGCAGGGTACTGACAAATGCTATAGGCAGATTTTTTTAACAAAAATATTCTTCAGTATTGAAGTCAAGACATGTCCTTAGCATGTCTTATACATTCAGTGTTATTACTAAAAATACTTTTGTCAGGCAGGCCTCAAACTTGGTCTGCAAATGTACATATGCTACAAGTACTTTATACATTTCATTATTTACATGGCTCTTGAACTCACTAACAAGCTCATACTTTGTTTTGTCATCTTTAGGATGGCCATATACAGCTCCAATTCTGCAAAGGGAAAGCAAATAGTGCCTCAATAGAGGACTGAATCACAAAAATAGAGAATCCATAGGGAGATAGTCATTTACGCCTCCATTTCAATAGCATCCTGGTCTGTAACTTATGAAAAAAAATTTGATTGCAGTGCAAGAGGGTAAACAAGAGGCAGAGACAAGAGGCCACAGGTGCCTGTTGATTATGGTGTGGTCAAACAGACCTATTTTGTAAACACAAACACCAGCCTCCTGCCTCATGTTGAGTCCCTTGGGCCACTTCACTTCAGAAACCTTCCTCAGCTCTGCCTTACCTTGCTTACAAGTGCTCGCAGCAAACAGGACCATGTCATGTGTCTTAGAAAGTGAAACTCAATTGCCCCACATCTAAGCTTGGCCCTCTTCCGCATGTTCAAGCTGCAGCACTGTCTTTAATAGGCAGAAACTGGGGAGCAATAACAGTGCTGATTGGACAGTTAAAAAGGTAACCCTGGGGACTCTAACCCATTCACCTCTTTGGCTGGCATGGTCAAAGTGGCAATGCCAACCACACATAGAGGATGTCTAAAGTAAGAAAGAAAAAATTACTGCAAAAACATTGCTTTGGTTACACACAGCACTTCATACATGTTTCAACCACAACAAAAAAGGACTTGTACAAAATAATGCTTTGATAGAGTGTTGTGGGCCTTAGACAAGTGCAACTCCTATAGTGCATGTGCGCACAGCGCAATAAAAAAAAGGTACAGGAGTTGACAAGCCAAGACCCGTGTGCCATGGTCTCTTATTACCCTTCAGTTTGAGGTTATACTTTTGACCTGTACTTACTGACTACAGCTTATTATCTACAGTAAGATAGCTTTTTTCCCTGCAGAATTGCAGTTGAATGTCTTTTCTGACCCAAACAAGGAACATAACACATAAGAGTGGTGGGCCCTTTTCATAAAATGCTACAAATGTGAGTTTGCTTTAGCACCTGAAGCTTCAGAAGTGACTCCAAAGGCTGTCATGAAACTTATGTAAATAAAAAGGCTAGTCTGTCCAAACAAATGGACTGTAAAAGTGATGGGAACTTACCTGACCTATACTATAACCCTTGTTTGGAAAAGAAAAACACACTCAATCTGCTTTGACAGCCAACATTAAAAAGAACAAAACAAAAGTACAAAGGATATCCAGTTTGTCATTCATCACAGACTCCATTAAAGGCATCACCGACCAACAAGGCTGCAGGGCTGTAATATTTTGAAATATTGGTTTTAAAAAAGGGTATAAAAATCAGAAGCAACATATCGCTGCAAATGCCTCCTAACCCTTAAGGTAGTCAATCTAAAAAACAGCTAAAAGTATTACAGCACTGCAGTGTTCCTGGTGGGTGGGTGCCTTCAATAGAGTCCCAGTTCGTGCATTGGCTTTTTTTTTTTTTTTTTACTATCAAGTGTGGGTATCCCTCTTAGGCCTGCACTTTGAGGAGGCTCTTGAGCTGGAAGGCCATCATCTCCCTGTTGTCGCAGGAGCCCATTGGGAAGGACACCCAGTGACTGGGGGGTTTGGGCAAAACGCTGGGCGAGGGTGGCTCACTGAACTTAGGCCCTGCGTAGCTCGGACTTCCCTGGGTGGCCAGGAGCGTGTTGAGGTGAGACACTGCACCCTCCCAGTTCTGATCATAGTTGGTGGCAAAACGGACAGAAGCATTCTTCTCTGCAGACGCGGCCTGCCGCGCCTCTGGAGACCTATGGTAGGCTGCGCCTTTGTCACTCCGGCGGTGGCCATGATGGTGAAGGCTCCCTGCCCCTCCTGCAGATGCTGCTGCTCCGTTCTGGTCACGGCTTCTCTGCTTAGCCCGGCCAAGTTGATGGTTCTTCTTGGGCAAAGGGCGCTCAGGGTGGGAAACTGGAATGTTGTACCTCTCTCCACCTCCCATACTGCTTTTGCACTATGTGTCACCTACACGATGGGAAAATATCATTACTTAATATATTTAATTGAATAATCTTGGAACATATTGCGATCCACACATTAAAATGACATGCTATTTATCGGCACGACTGCTAATGCCTAATCCGTCAGCACGCACAGTTCCACCACCTCAATGAAAACAAGTACAGACTACGTGCAGAAACACCAGACAGGCCTGCGTCTCCCCTCCCCCACACACAGCCCGGAGCAAAACAACCCCCGCTCACCTCTTTGTTGTCAGAAAGTTGATGAAGCAGAGATCTCTCTTCAATCTTTCACCTCCAATCGGGCCCCAGGTCCTCGAAGTAGTTTTCTGTCTACTTCTCGCTGCACGTTTGTGTCCAGCAAGGTCTGAGGTTTTCATGTGCCAATGAGCGTTGTTTTCTCGTGGAGCCGAGCTGAACATCAATTCACCTCGGCGCACGATGCTCCAAGAAGCCTTAGACCTTTTGGGGTGGAAATTTTAATTAGAAATACAAAGTAGACATCACAAATCCGTGTTCAAATGTTCTTTGTCGCTGTTCTTTGTTCGCTGTCGATGAACAGCGCACTCAGAAACGTATTTCTGGGTGCGTCATTACGTGCTGTACAGCAAAAGACACCAATAAACGACAAAACGCCCGCTAATCATCTCTTCATGGAAATAATATCAGCGTATAGAAAACTGTTGGCATTAAAACAAAATGTTGCATAAGCAAACTGTGACGTTATCGCACTTGTACTTGTGCGCGTCAGACTAGGCTTAACTGCAGTCTCTTTGTCCTACCAAATGGCTTAGCCAATATATTAAGCATATAAACTACGTTGATATTAGCAATCTCGATCCAAGTGACCATTGGTTACTGCTACTGGTTCAATAAATAACGCGTACACAATTTGGGTCACAATACTTTGGCACGAAACCAAAACAAAGGAACAGTGGGCTCAATATGGCGACGAGGCATAAAACTGCTTCACTTACCGACTTCTTCAGGCTCGGTTGTTGAAGCCTTTCGTCAAAAGAAAAATATGTAAATAGCCTCTGAAATCTCACGGCGGACTATGTAGGAAGTACAGCAAGCTATATTTCTTACAAATCCGTCACCCTCGAGTATTATGTGGTGGTAAAAGTGGCCGTAAACAGACGCCACTTCTCTCTCCCGACTCCGTCTGATTTGCAACAAAATGGAATCTACAGCAGAGATATGTAGCTCGTTCTTGCCCAGATCTGACCAATCGCACATCGAGTACAAACTGAACGACCAATCAGCAAAGAGACAGACAGACGCAGTCACGCCTGTTGCCAGACTGGTGACGTCAATCGCCAACCCACCTCTCCTGTCCTTTGTTGGGGTATGTGGTGAGAAATTAAAAGAAAACAACCGCTTTCAATCAGTAAAACTCCACAATTTTCAAACTACATTACATGGGAAGTAACTCTAATGTTATATACAACATCGTATGAAGGTTTAGGGTAACAATAGGGATAGTTTGGTGTTATGTAATGTCAATTGCTTGTTCAAATAACTTGGTAAACACGTCCATAATTTTGATGTATTGAAGTACTTAATACTTTTTCTGAAAGAAGAAAACAGGTTCGTCGAGGCATCCTTCCTATTTCCGTGAACTAAACCTGTTTTGCTGGGTTGAAACCACAGTCTATGGTTGAAACAGCTGCAACAGGCTGTGATGATAACAGATCGTCTGTAGCTGCCCATCCCCCCACCTCTTCTGTCTTGATAAAAACAAAACCTTGACCATTTTACTGAAACCGGTCATTTAGACCCAGTGATTGAGAGGAACTACCTACTTTTACTACTTAGGCTAATTAACAATTTTGAGCTGCTAATTTTGTGTTTTAGGCTACTTGAGTATTTCAATGTTATGCTAATTTATTCCTCTACTCCACTATATTTCAAGGGACAATTTTAGTCCACATTTATTTTCAACTATTTTTCAGATTAATGTAATAAGATTTTACATTAAAGAACAATATCATAAGCTCATATAATACAGTGTTTTCCAAAACTAATTACCAGAAAAACAAATGTCCATTTGTGGCATATTGTCACACATGCCTGTGAGTTGGTAGCAGATCCTCTGAGTGACTGATCTTCTAAACTTCTCAGATGGTTTCATTTAAATAACAGGAATCATTCAAAATTTCACAATAAGAGAGAAGAGGAGATTAGAAAGAGGCAAATGGTGGAACTTTTTCTTCTTTTCTACCCCATTAATGATCTTATGTTCTCTCAGATTCATCTTGTAAACCCAGATTGGGAACCACTTTACTAGACTATAATAAATGAATTTAAAGTAGATACTTTGATATAAGTATTTTACTGTTCAGACATCTGTACTTTTACTTAAAATTTTGAATGCAGGGACTTTAATTGTAAATGAGTATTTTAAACTGTGGTACTGGTACTTTTACTTAAGTAAAGGATCTATGTACTTTTTCCACTGCTGTTTAACCCTTATGTCAATTTCTAACCAGTGGAAGAATGGTGAAATTAAAATGGGAAAGGTAGTTTTTTTCCTAACATTAGATCAGTTTTCAAATAGTGATATGCAGGTTATTTGATGAATAAGATGATGTTATTATATCCTCTGTAACATACAGTAATTCAGTGTGATACAAAGGCCCAATTCAGAGTAAATGAGTAGGCTACCACATAGATGTCGTAGATCTGTAGCAACATGTGGGCAAGTCACTGAGGGTAATTGAGTGTGAACCTTCCTCCCTACAATGTTTTGTTGAATTAACCTAGTGTCACACACACCACACATGGTTTACAGTGGACTCCAGTATTCTTGAGAGCAGATGTGTATGGCGTTACTAAAAAGAAAAGAATGAACAATAGCTGGTAATGTTAAAAAATAATTATTTAGATGCATGACATGCATCTCCACTTAATTTAAAAGTTAAGGAAACATTTTGAGCCATTTCAAATAACTGAACTCTGGAATTATGTGTTAAGTGGCTGAATCTGGTTTTAAACAGTTTAACTTTAACTTATAATTTGGCCTTTGTGACATTTGACCTGAATTATTGTGTTACACTGGGGTACTTCACTTATTTCTTTAAATTTCAGTTTTCTACTTTCTTACAGCAGCAACTTAATTTTATGTTTGAAAATGCTGTTCTTACTTTCCTCTTAGCCTTTTAAAGACATTACCAGTGGCTTTTGTACTGTAACGTCTTCCAGCAGGTTTTATGGGAGCCTGCTAGTCCAATTCTGAAGAATACAAAACAACTACTGTGACTGATTAACACAAAACAAAGTCCACGGACCACGGTCAATGTTACCTTCCCTACCCTGTATGAAGTCTGGATTTTAAAAGAGTTGCACAACACAGTGTGTCAGCCGGTGCTCACAGCTAAAGGCCATGGAAGGACACTCCCCAAAGCAAAGCAACATGTGAAGGGGGTTGTGCCCATAAAGAGTCAGCTATGTATGGAAAGTAGGTCACTGAGAGGCTTCTGTAGGTCGTACAGAACGTAGGAGATTTACAACTTTCCATATTTGACCGGTTGCAAAAGCTTAGAGTGTAAACAATTCATAGACATAAGGAATGTATCGTAGCATCGTGGAAAGTTTAATATAAATTCTTTAAAAGGAAAAGCTGTACAAACGTTGCCAGTTTCATTCACAATGGCATAGATAATTGATAGCCTCTCTTGGACCCTCTTTCTCTGTCTTATTGGCCATTTGCAGTAGATATTGGGTGTAAAAAGTCAAAAGGAAATGATGAACATCGCATGAATTTGAATAGCCTGAAATGTTTTGCAAAACACACCCACAACGTGAAGTTGGTAAGAACGGAAGTAGAAATGGTTTCACACCACTCAGCAATAAGCTGGGCCAATATCAAAGACAGTTTACACTTACAGCAAACACAGTCAAAGGAAATCTTTTCTTTATTGCCAGTTTTTTTAAATTCATTTTTTCCCATTTGGTTTGGTGGCCCATTTTCTCAAAAACAGACAGTGGACTGAATACACTCATGCAAGGAACATACTCCATGATTACATAGCTGTATACAATCTAGTCTAAAAACCACACAAGATGTCCCCAAATCTCTGTTTTTAAAACATTAAACCTTCAACTGGCAGACTGGCAACACAAATACAGACCCAATGCCACTACCTACCACTTATACCCCATGGCTGCATAAGAAAGAATGAATAAATGAACAATTAAAAAAGCAGTCTCAGTACTTCAGTTTCACCTACCTACAACAAGGACAAGCAGCTGGAGAATCAACCTTTTTACTGGCCGACAGCACAATGATAAAGTTCTTGAATCACTCACTCAACATTTTGAATTTGAGGTGCTGAGATGTCTGGCCTTCTAACTGTCTTCTAGCTGTCTTTCTAACACAAAATGCCCTTAACACATTTTGAAATTCCCAAACAACACGCTTGATGTGTTTTCAACTTCTCTTTAATGGAAGACAGTAAGAGGCTTTGAGAAAACTTGACCGGGTTGTTGTTCCTTACATCAGTACAAGCAGAGCCTTGACTACCATTGAGGACACTGAGTTCAAGTCTTTGACAGTTTTAGCACTTTCTTCTTCACTATTGTATTGTAGACACTATATTTTTGACTAGGTGAAAAATGCCATGCAAAAGCATTCAGTCCTTTATTTGAAGTAAAAAGAAGCGAGCAATTTATATTATGGGTCTGAAATTTCCCAAGGCATTCTTTGGAAAGAACAGTGTAATCTGATCTTAATTACAGGGTAAATAAGCAATGCTCTGAGTCAATTCAGTTAGAGTTGTCTTTACGAACAGATGCTTACTTTTGTTTGTGTCCTTAAAATAACTGCTCTGTTTAATTTAAATCAAGTAGAAAACAAAAATGATCAAATAACTCAATCATTAAAATAAAACCAAAAGTATTTGGGACTTGGATTCATGACATCAGAATTTTACAAAATCCTACAGCTCTGAGTACAAGTACATGTCAAGACAAGTCCTTAATACCCTTTAAAATGTAGTTGATAAATGCTGAGTACAAAAACAAAAGATCAGGTCTTGTACTTTACTGTTTACTAGGCTACTTGAATATTGCCAATGGAAAATGGAAAAGGAAAAAGAAATAAAAGCTTTTATTATTGTAAATTATTTAAATGGAAAGTTTGTGCAGCTTTCTATTCGATCGCTTCTTTATATTTTCATGTTTTGATTTACCTTACTAAATTTCTTACACTTTTCTTTCACTGTTACATTATTTATTATTCTAAATAGTACAGTAAAGTACATAACTGAGCATTATTAAACCATTTAGCAATAAGTAATTTGATCAGTGTTTTTCAGTGATCTGATACTGCTCTCTGAAGGTCTGGCGATCTGGAAATGAGGAGAGGAAATCTGATTAATGGATTCCGCCTGAATCAATCTGAAACAGCAACAGCAAAGTGAGCTCTCATGTTTGTGTCCAGGGTGATTTCTAAAAAGGGATTGTGTAACAGGATGATGCAATCCAGCTGATAATTGAACATTTCAGGCTTTATTCTGTCCTGTTGTGCTGCACCTGGCCAGACAGTGACTGAGAAGAAATCTTATTGAAGCTGTGCTGTCTGCTCCTAATCACATTTCCTGTCTTCTGGTTTGCTGGATCTGTCAGGTCAGAGGAGAAGACATGGCCAGTGCACCAGATATCACTGACTTATTTCAGGACCAGCTATTTTCTGTTTTTGCATTTCAAATCAATAATTTACTTGAATAATGTCTAAACATAACCACGTCACAAAACATCTCTTTCTGACCTATTTTCTTGTCATGTCATTTGAAATATTTGTTAGTCCCTGTTACTGTGTTATTCAGCAACTGCTCTTTAATTGAGAGGCTAAAATAGTTTGCTAATTTATCTCAGAATGCCTCAGGTATGTGATTTTTGTGGCCTGATTAAATTGTTATTGAAGTATTAATGTATTTTACTTTTTACCAGAGGGACATAAGCTAAATTAATCGTCCTTAATTGTGGAGCAGACTGCTCAGCAAGTTTGAATTTGCATCTATGAAGAATAATAAAGATTCAAATACTGGATGACCTTTTAGTTCAGCACCATCATTATGATGTACCCTGTCTGGTTAATGAGGCTTCACTTCTTTTGTCCAATTGTTCAGTGTTGCTTAGCATTGCCCCCTATTGTACTATAAGCAGTATTACGCTTATCCACTGAAACTGTAGCATTAGTGAATGTTTGTCAGTAATAATGACTAGTGCAAAATATAAAAGAAAAACATAAAAATCCTTGTGAACTTGCAATTAAGGCTGGTTTATAGACCACAGTGCTTACTTAGATTTAATATATAAACATGTTTGACTTTTTCAAATTCAAAATATCTCATTGAACATTTGAAATGAATGAGCATGTGTTGGTAAAACACAGATATAGCTTTCAGGACAGACATGAGGGTAGAAAATTATGACAGTGAAAGCATCAAATGGCACTGTCTCATTATTGCAAAACAAGTATATTAATTGTCTTTGCTAATGCACACACATACAATCTTTAAACTAATGAAGCAGACATGATTAAAACCCCCTTTTTATTATCCTCCCAGTCATTCCATGTAGAGAAGGCGGGCAATTAAGGTATACTTGCAATCCCTCAAGCAGTGTGATTTAAAAATAGCATAAACCTTATCATCCTACAAGGAAAGGGTGTGTATGTGCATGCGTATGTGTGATGGTAGATCTTGTCTGTAAGATGAAGATGGAAGATGGTGGAAAGTAATTAGCAAAAGAGGTGGAAGGAAAAACTGTTGCTCCAATGGCAAGACTTCTTTAGCTACGTTGAGTTGGAAAATATATATATATGTATATATAATAAGGTTATGAATTTGAACATGAGAGTTCAAGTCTGACAAGATTATCTAAACTCAAGGTTCAGCTTTGGAGTAATGAAGTCATAGTCAAGCTATAGTTTTTCAAAACTCATTGTAGGCTATGATGTGTTTTTCCACCTTTTTTATCGACATGTTTTTCACACCTAGGATCCAACACTCTAGTACCATTTCTAAGTGCTCTTCTCTCCAGAGTCCATGACCCTGACTGCTTGAAGGACACAACACTCAGAAGTTTGTGATCACTACATTTGGTCTCTGTTTCTCTACGGAAACGTTTGATTTGACAAATCCACTTCAGTCTGGATTTGTGATGGATAGTTGAATATAATTGAACAGATCAAGAAAAAGTGGACTTCACAGCTATCATTTTACCCTGTTTCATCACAGACTCCAGCTGTAGTCATAATACTTCAAAAGAACATAATTTGGTGTCTTCCATCTCTCTCTCTCTGTCTCTCTCTCTTCTCTCCGTTGTCTCCCCCTCCCTCTACATCAGCCCCCCCCCCCCCCCCCGTCACCACACAGCCACCCTCCATATCTTCTCTTCTCTCTGACACTCTTTGTCACAAGTAGAGGTTGTGCAGTCATGCTGTGGTTGTACTACCGCTTAAAGACAGGAAATCAGCACTATTAAACCAGAAATCCACAGACAAAACAGATTATAAGGTAAGTGTTTAAAAGTTTTTTTTAATTAAAGGTTTGAAATTTGAACTGGTGTTGGATGTCTCTTTGCAAATTCGTTTTAGATATGCCTTTGGAAGTTTTAAGGAAATGCCCTCTTATTCTTGAGCAACTTCACTTATTCAGTAGGTGTGCAACAAATGTGCTACTTTTGACTAAGTGGATCTTTGTCTGTTGCTACAACAAAACCAGAGATTTCATCATAAGTGATTTCATTACTTAGGCCACAATGACTTTTGATATTTTGAAACAAAGTGGCATGGTGCAACAGCGACACAAGGGGTTATTGCTACAACATATTTCAGGGTGCATGTCGCCAGTGATGTGACTGAAATGGATTGTCCGTATGTTTTCATTACTATAAATGAAGTTTTCTGTATGCACTGCTGCTGCTGCTTTCTGCTGCTGCTGATTTCTATAAGGATGCCTGGTTCTTAAGAGTCAAAACAGAACACTTTGTCAATCCACAAGGGAGAAAAGAAAAACGCCTGAGGTGGTGTAATATCCCCAGTGCATGCACCTTCCATAGTGGAATTGAGAAATATTGTCCCTCAGGTCAATAAGAGGCTTTTTGGAAAGTAATTTACTTCAACCACTTCTGCCCATACATATTTTATATGCTTTCACAAGGCAATGATATATTTGTGATGAAAAATATGGTCACTGGAAACAGAATAAAGGGGAAAAGGGCACAGTGACCTGATTGGGTGAAAACGTTCCCTTTAGTCCACCTCCGAGGATAGTTATATACTACATCATACAGTATAAGCTGACTACTTTCCTTGATCAATTTTGATGTATTTTTATGTGTTCCCTGAACTTCTCTGAGAACCTTTCCTTCAAGAGTTTTGTGATTTGCATGTATTTTATATGTTGTTGCATCATGTAAAGAAAAGAAGAAAAAAAATCCTCATGTTTAAGCCGCTCTGTGCAAACAGATATAGGTGGCCTCTCCAGTTTATTGCAGCATTATTTACTTTAATCAAATCCTCTGACAACAGCTTCCCACACTGAGTTTAATCTATTAATTGCATACAGGTGGTGCACTCTAAGGCGGATTGTTCAACTCAGTGGTGACCTTCACCCACCGATTAACTGTCCAGTTAAAATACAATCCCATCTAAGTCCAAAAGGGGGCAGTCTTCATCCTATCAAATATTTAAACCAAAGGACTGAGCTCTGTAGGTATAGTGCAATGCATTTACAGTAAAATCCCAGGTCCCATCATGATGTAACTGGTTGTATTATTTTTTTTCTCTAATATACATAAGGAAAGAGATGAAGAACTTTGGATTTTTAAACAAAATGGATCTTGGTCCTTGAGGAGAGTGTCATGGTTTGCCAGGCATTTTTCAACTATCTTCCCAATATAATCATCAGCTGATACTATAATGATCTTTGTCTGTTTGCCTTGACCTCTAAATGACTTTCTGTCTTGACTCACAAATGTTAATGTTCCTTTTAAGCACCAAGTTCAATATTGACAAAGAGAAAAAAGTAATCACATTTTCTACTTAACCACATCATCCACATTTTTTTGTCAACAGGAAGTTTCCCATCTTTTTCCACTTGATGTAAAAACCTCAAGAAGGTGAAGGTTTGTTATCAGTCATATAATGACATTTGAAAGTAACGTTCTAAGAAATTATTTTATTCATAGCAGTTAAGGTAATAATGGAAAATTTGGAAAAAATACAATTTTACTTTTGAATTTTTTGTTAATGTTTCTTTGTAGAAACCCTGATGAATTCTTTCATTAGCTTTATTTCAGATGCATTCATTATTGTTATAATAATTTTCAAGAACAACAGATTTAAATGATGATTTACTTTACTTCCTAATCACTATATAGCATTAGCCCAGAGGTAATACTTGAGATGGAGGAATGGGAGGTTTCTGCTTCTTTAGAACCCACAGAAGCCAAAGGGAACAGTTCATCACCAATAGGTATGCTGCCATCGGTAAATTCATTACCATGTTTCTTCAGAATATATATATGTATTTTTTTAATCAATTGCAATAAACATTGCAGTTGTAGTTTCAGTTCACTTGTCTACTAAGATTTCTCATAACATACATTTGTGTTTTTCCTCAAAGTTGACAGGTCTTGTGAGAATCTGGAATGCTACATGGTCCTGATTGAAGCAGAGAAGACAGCCATTGGCTCCATCTGTTTCCTGGCAGGTCCTTTCACACTGCTTGAAAATGCTCTTGTGCTGGGTTTGATCGCTGCCACAGCGTCTCTACGGCAGCGGCCCTCATATCTGTTCATTGGCAGCCTTGCTCTGGCTGATGTCTTTGCCAGCTGCTTCTTCACCACCAGTTTCTTGGACTTCCACCTCTTCCGTCGCAGCGATGGCCCCACGGCCTACCTTTTCAAATTAGGTGGTGTCACCATGGCATTCACTAGTTCAGTGGGAAGCTTACTACTGACTGCCCTGGACCGCTACCTTTGCATCTACCAGGCCTCCAGCTACAAGGTGCTGCTGACCCGCCGGCGAGCTCTGCTCAGCCTTCTGATTCTCTGGAGCACCACCATCTTCATCTCCTTCTTGCCTCTAATGGGCTGGAGGTGTCACACAGACCTTACTCCACCCTGCTCACGTCTGTTTCCCTACATCAACCAGGGTTATCTGGCCTGCTGGACCAGCTTCATCCTGGTGCTTCTGGCTCTTATTTTGGGAGCTTACGCTCTCATCCTGTGGAAGGCCCACCGTCATGAATCCTCCATGACAAGCCTCCAGGGAGCAGCAGGGACAGGCCATGCCCGAATGAGGATGGATATCCGGCTGGCTCGTACCTTTGGCCTGATCCTGCTCATACTGGTGGGCTGCTGGCTTCCTGCGCTTTCTTTCATGTTAGCTGATGTCTCTGTGATCCTGACCCACACCCAACAGAGGGCCTTCGCCTTTTGCAGCACCCTCTGCCTGCTTAACTCTGCAGTCAATCCACTGCTGTATGCCCTGCGCTGCAGAGAGCTCAGAGTTGCTCTGCTGCAGTTCCTACAAAGGCTGTGTGTGATTGGGAGGTGTAAAATGTCTTCAGAGGACTTAAGCCCAGAACCACCATCCACAGAGGACAACAACTTCACTGGCATCTCTGAGGAGGAGATGCCCAGAACCAGAACCACTCGTCTCCACTCAATCTCAGAAAAGGTCAGCAATCAGCAGCTAAATGTCAGAAAATGAAGGATGTGGAGAGTTGAAATGAAGAAGTAGCTATACAGATGGAAAAATGTCTAGGAAATGTTAATGGCAGTGTGATCGTGGTGAAGATGTTGATTAAAATCAAGTTACTGGAGATTAAGAATCAAATCTACAATACCCAATAGTAGGATTCATTGTCATCAAAATATTAGAGCTGGCATAACTTGACTTTTTAAACAAGACTATTGTGGTAAAAACTGAATCACAGTCCTGAATATTTTTAGTATAAGTGATCGGAAACATTCTATGAAATGTGGGAATTGTGGGACATTTTGTGTTTTACATGCAATTACAACTGTAAAACAGTGTATGTAAGGAGAAAACATTAACCCCAAGTATTAGTTTGTCATCATTACACATTACTTTAATCATAACAATTACAGCATTGGAAATTAGTTAGATTATGTGAACTTTTATCTAATCAATTAGTATGATTAACATGGTGTGATTTCAGTATATAATTATCTATTTGCAAGTAGGACACAAGGAATTTTGTTATGTGTTTTCTGATGATAACTAGGTCTGGAAGGAAGATTAACTAGTAATATAATTCTGTGGAAATACACCGTTATGCATTTGTTTAGGTCAAGCAAAAGATTTACTCTATATTGGGCTTTTTTAAGTGAGCTGATGAAATGTGGCCATCTAACCCCTAGCTTTTGACACTCTGCCTCCCATGTCATTGCTTTAAAGCTCTCACTCCTATAATATTGTGTCCTGTGAACTGAACTGCTGACTTAACTTTTGAGTCCACAACTAGTTGTTCGTATGCTTGCTTATGTTTGAGTGTTCGTCACTGATGTGCAGGAACAGAGGACGCTGTGGGTTGCCTATCCTATCTGCACATGAATGCCAGGACTCCACAAAAGCCCCATGCATGGGAGGATTTCACACAATGTTCACCACATGAATCCAAGCAGTGTGCTGAGGTAAATGAGGCACATGCCAGGAAGAGAAAACGAGCACAGACACTAGAACACTCTTTGCAACAGAGACAACTGGCAGCTGCAGTAAAGCACACACTGACTTAAACTCACAGCTGCACATAGGGTTACAAAAATAGAGAATCACATAGGTCTTGTAACGCTTACTGATTGTAGGTCAGTGGATAGTATTCAGAACACCTTTAAACCACTGTATCAACTGATTAAGAATAATACTTGACCATATCCTGTTTTGTCTCTTTATGTATTCATATTCAAGCAAATTCCATTAGTTTTACCCATCTGGTGTGTGCAATGAAGTGTATCTGTCTCTGTACCAATCGCGTGAGTAGATCTTTGCTCCCAGAGGTTACATGTTGGATACTGGGAATTTGTGATGCCAGAATTTGGCAAAAAAAAAAAAAAGAGCAGGAAGATATACTGTTTGTCAAAAGTTTTGGAGCACCTCATAATTCAGTGTCTCTGAAAATAAAGCATGGAACCAATGAATAATTGATTTTTCAATGACCTTTCAGTTTTTGGTGACCTAAACTTTTTTTTATTTTATTTTTTTTAACCTCAGGCAGTTTACTGCTTACTTTTTGTATTTCAATAAAAATCTGAAAATTGGGGTGTTTGGGGCAAGAGACTGGAGATGAGGAACAGGAGTACAGTTGCATTTTCATACACACTGTGCTCAAAATACAACATAAAGGATGATCATACCAGTTTACCAGTAGAAGTTTTACCCATGTAGAGGTTATAATGTTCAGATTCTGTAGAAACTATAGACAGATGTGATAAGATGTGTTACACTAAGAGGTGGAGAGTTTGTGTTTGTAATATGTAGCCTAATATTTATTGCATTCTAAAAATTGTTGCAATTGTCCTTGAATTTGTTTATGTCTTATAAATATGTCAATGTCTTAATTTTGGAAATGACTGTTATCAATTATCCAACCATTAATTATTTATATAATTTATGGTAGACTAAATAGTAGTTCATATTTCCCCTCCTTTTGTAATCACCCCCCCCCCCAGAAAATAAATGAATAAACAAATGAATTAATAAATAAATGAATAAACTCTACAAAGAAACATCTGATCAGTGAAAATCTTCATAGATTTCTATCATTTTTACAAGGAGATGTTAAAATGCAACTTATCTAATTGATAATTGTAAAATACTTCCCAGTAGTATTTCCTTTCAGTAATTCCTTTCCATGGGTAATTTGATAATTAATTGATTTGCTATCTTGCCCCCAGTTGGCCATTTGCCCAGCTAGCACGGCTTTATGACCAACTCCCACTTAAGAGTCATTAGTTAGACAGCCGTATGTCCTCACGAATTTACCGGGAACACGCCTCCAAGTCTGTGAGTCTGGGGGTGAACTGGGCCCTGTTCTCCTGCTGCTCTTCAGCCCAGCAGTCACATGACCCCACTTCCAACAGTATGCATTATTATTTAAGTAAGAATAATCATTTAAAAAAAAAGCCCAAAGTAACAGATTAAGTAACCTTAATCAAATTAATAAATTGATGAATAGCTACATACATTTATCATAAGACCCTATAATAATTCCAGTGTTCAATGGAAATTTATTCCCAATCAGTTGTGGGCTAGCCGAAAAAACCTATAACAGTTATGAATAATGTTCATTATTTAGACAGTTTGTTTATTTATTTAGCTTTGCTCTCGTTCAACATTTGGGCTACTTTGAAGAAGAGCTATCACTGTTTCCAGCTCTGGACTTCCTTGTTCAATTTTCATTGTTCAAGCAGAGACAGTAGAGAAACTCTGTTTAGAGGACCTTTGGTACAAGTTGGATAATTGAACAAACTGACATTTTGGTGCGCTGAATTTAATTGCACGCCTTCATTAAATGGGGCAATAACACACGCAAATGGTTAACAGCGTTTAGGCAGTATTGGCTAATGAAGAACGAGCTCACAAACGTCAACATATTTTTGCACTAAGCACAAGACAATGAAATTAGGCAATACCCCCTAAACTGGCATTTTTCATTATATAACATGAGCAACTGCAGAAGAATTATACTTGATGCACGGATAGGGAACGCAGTTACTCAAATGCCACAGTTAAAAAACAATACAACATATAACACGCGATTTCTGCAGTCTGAAAAGATGCAGAGCGCAGCTGCACCTTACTGTGCTTACCCCTTTTACAATGCATTTCGAAACAATTGCACAAAAACAAACTTAGGCTACAGTATACTGTACCATTTCACACCTACACTGATGTGGTTTTCTGATCATACATTTTTATATCTGTTCAATAAATCATTTTTAAACATTTAACTATTTCAAACTTACCAAGTGTGCTACATGTTTTCAGCTAGCTAATATCCATCAATAATGTATCCACAAACCTTGTGTTTGGTTTTCAAGGGTCAAAAATCGACAAAAATAGAACATGGGGATGTTTGTTGTTGACAGACATTAAATAAATAATAAAATCTTTTTCTTAAGGAGATTAAAGTCTAACATCACTGGAGGTCACTTGTAATCTACCTGAGTTACCTGACCACCACCACCAGACGTCTCGTGAACCTTCAATTTGAGTTCAACGGAAAGCGAGCAACAACAATAGGGTTGGGCAGTAAGAAAATACGGCGTAAAAATGGCAGAGGAGATCGTAAAAGCACAACTGATTCTAGTATTTATTACGTATTCAGTGAAAGAAAAGTAATAGTCGATAACAACTGTAATTCAAATAATTGGACATCAAAATAATATGTTTTAAATATTTAAAACCCCCCTCTTTCTTCTAATGGTAGGCTCTGCCATTGTGACGTTTTAAAAATTCAGAAAGCAGGCTCGGTCGTTGGCTCACCACTCAGAGAAGAAAATCCGTTGTTGTGGAGAGGAAGAAAGACTGAACACATTCGAGGAACGTTAAACGTACAAAGTACGACCGTTAAACCCCAGTTTTTGCGGGTCGTTTTTTCTCCAACTTATTTTGTTTCCCCGTTTTGTTTAGCTAACATGGCTTGTGGAGCTACGTTAAAACGGTCGATGGAGTTTGAGGCCCTCCTCAGTCCCCAGTCTCCCAAACGGAGAAGGTGCAATCCACTACCGGGGACTCCTGGCACTCCGTCCCCGCAAAGATGCAACCTCCGTCCCCCAGTCGACAGCCCAACGCATTCGATGTCTCCTCCGGCCTTAGGAGGCGAACACAGGCTCACCCCAGGTATGAAATTAAACCAGATTTAGCGTCTTTTTCTGCGTTTCAGGGTGGGTGTCATGGGGGAGGGGGTTTGGGTGGAGTGGAATGGATAGCTAGCTTGTTGAGAGAATCAGAATGGGGGTTGGAGGCTAAACGTTAGCCCGGCTAAGCTAACGTCAGGAAGGCGAACGTCGTCGCTTAGTTCCCGATGCAGACAATTTTAATCATCGTAATAAATCAGTAGACGCAAAAGGTAGAAGTGGCTCTATAGGTATTTGTTGGTGGCCTCTTGCCAGCTCATTGTATTGTGGCAGTTGGCTGAGTTAGCTTACAGAGGCTAATGTTGATTCGTTAATGAAAATATTAACGTAGAGAAGTTTTTGCTTAGTTAAACCAAATACTATGTCTAGCACTGGGGAAGTTGAATATACCTATATTACTGCCATAATCAGCTTTACCGTAACCATCTGCAGCTTTGGTGTGGGTTAATTAATATATTGATATATTTCATTAAACATTAATTTGAAAACTGGATTTAACAAAAGATCCTGCTTATACTCTTAACACTTGGGTGACAACCTAGCCTGTTGGCTTTCCTGACAAGACAAATGGCATCACAGCAGCAGGCAAATCATCACAGGCAGCTAATTAGGAACTGTCTGGGTAATGTACCTTTGCTTTAGCACCACAATCGTCTTGCATTGAGGTGGGGGTTATCATTATGCACCATAACCATTTCTGTTCCTCTTAAGGCCTGGAAAGCATTGTTCATTTCCTTTATGCCTGCACTCTTCTCTACCATTGACATGAAAGTGCAGCTCCGCTGTGAGCATCAGACGTTGTGGGTCGCATATAACACTAGCTTCAGTAGACACAAGATAATTACATAGATGTCTCCACTGCTATCCAGTAGCTTATTGTATGTGCCAGTCACTGAGATATGAGCAGCATGACAGTAGTGATGCCTAATCCTTGGACTTTTTGAATTCTAATTAATGCAATTGCTCGAAGTCCTCAAATTCATTTGAGAGAAAAAAATGTGAGAGGATTACAAGACTGAGAAAGCTCTGCTAACTGTACTAAGCCCTGTTGTTAACTCCTACATTGACATTATGTGCCTATTGCACAGCGTATCATAAAGTGCAGGTTTACCTCAGGATCCCTGTTAACCCTCCTGTTGTTGTGAAGTTTGTCTTCCATTTTGCCACCAAATAATAACAATTCCAATGACAGTGAAGAAATCAGTAATGCATAGATGCATTCCTCATAACCAGTTTTTATAGGCATGTAACTGCTTGGAGAATTGTTCCATCCCTAATAAGCACCCAGTGACTGTGTTGAGCTGCATGTCTCCTCCTACTTCAAGTGGTTAAATTGAAAGAGGTTTAAATCTCCTTATTTCTAACTTTATTTTTTAAAATTCTAGATTATCAATGCCTGTCAGGCAGCACCCCCCTTAATTCTGTGCTCCTTGACTTGGTTTCTGTTGTCATTCTTCATGGAAGATTTACCTGCAGTGATGAGGTAGAATGACTTGTGTTACCTGAAAAAAGAAAGTGAAATGTAAGCCGTCAGTCAAGATTATTTTCATTGAAACAAACTAATAAGAGCCCATACACTCCCAATTTGCACAGTGTATCTGTGGCATCATTTATTAAAACAAAGGGCAAAGCATGGTCTGTCGTTTCTGGCTTAGCACTGTAAGAAAAAATGTGCTTCATGGTGCACATCAGTGCAAGATGATAATGGGGCGGTGCACATCCCTATCCCCTCTTACACAGTCTGTTCAAGGGGGGAATGTTGTGCCTTTATTCCGCTTTGGCATTCTGCATTAAAGGTAACACAGAATGGGCGGGCAGTGTTGTTCTGGCATCAAGCTGGCATCAATGGTAGCTGCAAAGCCAGATCCACATGTGTTTTTAAAAAAAAAAAAAAAAGGCATGGCATGATGTGACAGACGCCAAAGCTATTGCATTACACGTCACACCTCTGACTCCGAAAAGCCGGCATGCGATCTAAAATCACACTCTGAGGTGGCATCGGGCCAGCTTTGTTTGGTTCAGTGTAAACAAGCAAAGGCGGCGTATCGAGGAGTCATCTTAACAGCAACATAGTGGGATCTCTGTATAAAAGTGGCTACTCGCAGAGAAAGCCAGGAAAGGTTTGCTGAGAGCATTAGATATACACACAGATGTAGATACTGATGTCATCACAATTGGCTTCATGTAAAAAGCAT